GCTATTATCATTGGAACGTTAACTTAATGTGAAAAATACAAAACAACAGGTTTATTCCCTGTGTTGCAAGGTAAAACTTTCACAACAGAGTCCAGGTATGGGGATGATGATGAGAGCTCATTCAGTGATAGGATTTTTAAACCTATTGCCTCCCTTGCATTTGCAGTACTTGCAACATCGGATACCAGCTAGCCGACAGGGACACCCATCCTTGTGTGCACACTTGCCACATGAGCAGGGATCTGGCAAACCTTCAGGTTTTGAGATTACAATCTCTGGGACTAATAAACTGCCCTTTCTTACAAAACCATAAGCATCTGCATTTAAGATCGAGGTGGCGTCTGTAAATGGTGCTTGGACCCAAAGCTGCTGTTGATAATAGGCTCTTTGTATATGTTTTCTTGCATTAGTTGAGGTGCAAGCGGTCCTCTCAAAGTCCATCCTGATCTTTAGGATCCTGAGAGGAGCGAGGAGACTGAATCCCCCTTGCCCTCCTCTCGTTCCCTCTTGGGACCTCGCAGTGGTTCTAACTGCCCTGCAGAGTGCTCCCTTTGAGCCTTTGCAATCAGTGGAGCTTAAGTTCCTGTCTATGAAGACAGCGCTCCTGGTTGCATTGGCCTCCATCAAGAGGGTAGGGGACCTGCACGCATTCTCCGTTGACGAAGCGTGCCTGGAATTCGGGCCGGCCTACTCTCACGTGATCCTGAGACCCCGGCTTGGATATGTGCCCAAGGTTCCTACCACTCCCTTCCGGGACCAGGTGGTGAACCTGCAAGCGCTGCCCCTGGAGGAGGCAGACCCAGCCTTGGCACTGCTCTGTCCAGTACGTGCCCTACGCGCCTATGTAGACAGAACGCAGTGTTTCAGGACCTCAGACCAGCTCTTTGTCTGTTATGGTGGGAAGCTGAAGGGAAAGGCTCTCTCCAAGCAAAGGCTGTCTCTCTGGATAGTGGACGCCATTGCTTTGGCATACCAGCAGCAAGGTCGACCGTGCCCCCTTGGTGTGACTGCCCACTCCACCCGGAGTGTGGCGTCCTCTTGGTCTCAAGCGCATGGCGCCTCGCTAACAGAGCTTCAGGCTGGGCGACACCCAACACATTCGCCAGATTCTACAATCTCCGAGTGGAGCCAGTGTCCTCTCATGTACTCGCTTCAACCAGCTAGTACCGGACCCTCTCAGGTGTCTTCGCTTGCTCGCCATTCCACTCTTCGGACTGGATACGTGCGATATTCTCCTCAGGTGAGCTTCTCCGAAAGCCCTGAGTTCCTCCAGCACTCCTGATGTCGGCGCCAGTGTTTATTGCCTGCGCGTCGGCTAGGTGCCCACCGTGTGCATGGTCCCTCCTCTGAGCGACCCCCACATGTGTATTTCCACTGTAAGCCTCTCTGAGCATGTGTCTTTCCCTTGGCAAGCAACCTTGCCACCCCTGGGGTTAAAATATTCCACCTGTGGCTGGACACCCCAGTGTTCTCCATATGCATCCCTCCGGGTCATATGTGTATTCTCTAAGTCCCCTCCCCCCTCTGGGTTGGCAGTAATTGCATATTCCTCTAAGCTATAGGATTTGCTCCCCAGTGTACCTTGGTATTCCTGTGCTAAATTGGAGTCCTTCGTCCGTGCTAGTCTCACGACTGGGATCTCAGATTTACGCAGGGCACTGGAAGACAGCTGTGAAGGTGGCGTGATTAGACTGGTAACCCTATTCGTCGTCATCCGACGGAACTCGGAGTGACAACGAAAGGGAACGTCTCGGTTACGGATTTAACCATCGTTCCCTGAGTAGGGAACGGAGACGTTCCGTCTGCCTGCCACTTCCGCTGTACCGCTGGAACAGCCGAGTTCAGTCTTGCAGAAGAAACATATCTGCATATTGCCGGCTTTCTCCTTTTATACCCACGAGGTGGGGCGGAGTTGCGCCATGCAAATTCTGCAGACCCATGGCATTTGCTTGCCATTGGCTCGTTTTATTTCTTTCGAAGATGAGAGGCTTCTAAGCGAACCCCATTCGACGTCATCCGACGGAACGTCTCCGTTCCCTACTCAGGGAACGAGGGTTACATCCGTAACCGAGACGTTTTAAAGTTTAGGTTAATAAATAACTGGCAATTCCTGTATGTTGGTAGTTGTGTGTAATAGGTTGACTGTTTTTGAGCCATTTTCTTTATATCAAATCAGAATGCTTACATTCTTCTATGACCATATCATCATGGTCATTGTGAACACTGTGATCACCTCAGAAAATATGTAGCTTCAAGGGTTTATGTGTATGCATATTTAATGAGATATTGCCTAATTTACATATTTTATTTTATTTTTTAGACAAAGTGTAATACAAAAAGTATTTCTCTTAATATGAAGATTAAACTGTTAGAAATGTATGAGAATATCTATAAAGAAAAAAAAAAGTCCCATTCACCTGTAGTGTGATAATAGTGTCACCTATTGTGGTCAATTTCAGGACTTTCGTCCCGGGTGGAGATTTTGGCACACATCCCACGTTGTTCAATGGGGTCATATTAGTCTATAACAGTTGAGATATTCTCCGCTAAATGAAGTGCATACAAATCTTACCCAGGACCTCTACTATGTGTAGAAATGAGCCCTGGGTTGTAGGCATTTTCAATACACTCATAACACCATCGGCTGTGGCCGGAATACCAGAAAATACGCCATTTATGTGATTTATCTGGGTCGCCGTGGGAACAGCATTTGTGTGCAGGCAAGCGGGCATGGTACTGGCTTGCTTACTGCAAAATACACTGGAACAGTCACATTTTCTGGAACTGAACGAGCGAAAATTTCAGTGGAAGTCTGGCCACGGCGAGACTGAAACACCGTCGATTTCCTAGGAGGCTAGGAAGACTTGTGTTGGTTTCGTTTTACAGAAACCGTGGTAGTGTTTGTGGGCACTGGGTTGTGGGCACATTCACTACATTTAATGCACAATTGACATGCGTCGATTTCATTTGTGCGAGCCCTGTACCGTGGCGGGCTGTGTTTGTGTGTAGAAATGAACACTGGGCTGTGAGCATTTTATTACACTTATAACACCATCGGCTGTGGCCGGAAAACCAGAAATACAATGATTACATGATTTTTCTGGGTCGCCGTGGAAACGGCCTTTATGTGCAGGCAAGCGGGCCGTGGTACCAGCTTGTTTACTGCAAAATACACTGGAACAGTCGCATTTTCTGGAACTGAACGAGCGAAAAGTTTCGGTGGAAGTCTGGCCGCGGCGAGACTAAATTTTTATCTGCTGCGAGAGCCGGGATCGAACACGGGTCTCTCGCGTGAAAGCTTCGGGTTCCGCCACTGGGCCACAGGGAGAACTACACTAGCGCAAGCAGATAAGAGAGCGTCATCACAGTTTTGTGTGTGTCGGCGTTTGTATGCAGGTGTGCGTGTTATACAACAGGCTCATTGCTGCAATAATGCCATTTTCAGCCGCTCAAACTAGGAGCTGAGAAATGTTTAAGAAATGGAGATTAGTCCGGCCTCGGCGGGGACTAAAACACACTCTTTTCTCATTTGCCGGTGACGCACGCCCATGGGGGGCGGGGTAGATTTCTTGTAACGTAAAGAAAGCTAGCCGCGGTTTTAGGGCTCGCGGTCTTGATGCTGGCCCGTTTCCTTGACGACTCGCGGACAGAAAGCAGTCCACAGAGCTCGCCTGTTGCGCGGCGGTTGCGCGGGCGCCTCCCAATCGAGGCCGATGCTTTCCACGGCCTGAGAGAGCAGACGCATCAGCTCAGTCTCAATGCCGGTTCTCTTACCAGTGGTCTGGCGGGAAACGCTAGCGGAGGGGAGGTCCACGGAGCTCGCCCAATCCTCGCTATCGGATGCCAGAAGAGAACACGCCTCGGTGGGTTCGTCGAACTCGTGGACGGACGCGGCGGCAGGCGGCGGCCGTTGTCCGTCAGTGAGCGACTCGAGCGAAGCCGGCGAAGCTGGCGGGCGAACCGGCGAGCTTTGGCGGGCTGGAGAAAGCTCGGGAGCGCGCTGGGCGCGGCGCTTCTTGCGGCGCGGCACCACGGCGGGCTGTGGTGAAGGCTCGGAGAATGATGCCAGGCGAGTCCTCAGAGTCACCATAGGCAAAAACTCGCAATGAGGGCATCCGCCGTCAGCGAGCGCGAGAGCCGCGTGATCCTCACCCAGGCAGGAAACACAGATGACGTGCCGGTCTCCGTCGCTGAGCGGGGCGCGGCACGAGCCACAGGATGGCATCTTTAAAAAGACGCAGCTCTTTTGTGAAGAGAAGTGTGAGTCGCGTCAAGTAAGCGAGCAAACACTCTCAGCAGAGTAAAGATACACAGAGTATAAAAGGATATAGAATGCCGGAAAGCGCAGCAGGTACGGCAGTTGAAGGCGGCGAGGCCAGCGACTCCAGAGCTCGTCCCGCTGAAAGGCTTGCTTCGACGGCGCGGCTTCTCACTCCGGATCCAGCGATGCGTGTGCGTCGCTGAAGAGATAAAAATCAGCTTGTATCAGCCTAACGAGCATATTTATAGGGTGAGACCACGCCCTTTCTGGCGGGACGTGACGATATGGGCGCGAATTGCCCCCATTGGTCATTACGTCACGCAGAGTCTCACTCGATAGGCTGCTGCATTTGCCGCAAGAGCAACCAATAGGCGCGCGAGCTGTTTCGCCTATGTCTGCTTGCTGCTGCAAAGCGTTTTACATTAATAAAAAATTAAGGATAATTTTTGGCTTCAATATCTCGTGGAAAAGAGTTTTTCCCCTAGCGTAAAGCTATTATGCAGTACGAGAGATACTCTCGTAAGAGAACAATAATTCATGTCTCTATAATTATTTATCTGTTTATTAAGTGGATGTATAACAGTCAATCGGGATAACACACAGACCGGTTGGTCAGGGCTGGATGAGTTCACTGTTCCTCGACACATCACTGTCTCTTCTCATAATAAAATTATTTCATCTTTTGATCACAATTTCATATAATGTTTATCTATTTTTTTTCTTCTTGTCACTGTTGCAGGGCAGTGTATAGGGCATCTGCCTGAGAATCAAACGCTACAAATACGTGTGATGAAAAAGAATCCCAAGTCCACCTGTGTGTTGAAAGTGGATTCGGACATAATGGACACGGTCACCATAGCTTCAGGGAACCATTACGACCTTGATATCTTTGACTGTAAAAAGGAAGAACTGGAGTGGACAGTCAACCAGACCATAGGTACTCATCTGTGTGGTATGACCACCCCTCTGTGCCTTAAATAAGACTATATCCTAAATGTTTTGATGCTCCCAGTCACTACTAGAACAGAAAGGTCACCAGTTAAATCTATATTTACCATAACTTCTATTATTTAAGCAGGTCAGGTACATGACTTTGGTACTAAATATTGTTTGTAGGTATTCCCTAAACTTCTCAGGTACCTTCAGAACATGATAGAGAAAACACCTACAAACTTTTATTTCAGTCTGTTTGGTTAGTTTTTTTGTGGCTTATTGTGGCGATTATCTAAGCCAAATTTGGTGGTGGTGTTTTTGGTAGAAATCCAAGATGGCAACCAAAAATAACAGGAAGGACACAAACTAATGGGTTCATTTTAATGTGCAATACCAAAAGAACCAGAGGAAAATATAAATATGTTCCAAGACCCAAAGGCCTAAGAATAATAATGATAAACATAAACGTGAATCTTGAGCAGATGGTGGTGCTATAGAGTTTGAAACAGGCAGAACTTAAAAATGGTCTCGGTACTTTTTAGACCCTGCCCAATCAGTGTGTGCCAAATTTCACAACTTTCCTTTAAATAGGAAGTGGCACAAGAAGAAGAAAATCATTAAAGTTATCATTCTTGGTGTGAATGGGTCCATAATAATTAAACGTTACTCTATTAATCATTGACTTTGTTTCTTTATCAACAGAATGTAAAGAATGGAGACACTGTACATCCACTCGATTCCCTATAACCTTCAATTACGAGCTGCAGTGTATCCCAGGAGTCCTGAAGACGATCACATGGGACCTTCACGGCCCACCGAACAGTGCAGTGGAGCTACAGTTCCCTAGAGGCGGTCTGCGTCAATGTCTGCCGGAGGACAAATGCAATGGCATCCTCCTAAATGTGTCCCATGTTAACACTGGCATCACTGTTGGGCAGTTTTGTCCAAAGGGAAGCATTAAGAAAATCCAGATCCGTGAATCCAGTATTGCGGTAACTGCCTCCGTTACAAGTTTCGGTGGCCAGAATTTGGCAGCTAACACCCTTTTAACTTATTCATTTACACAGGACATATCAGGTAAATGGTTTCATTATACATTCATTATACATAACCACAAATGGAAGCTGCTTTTTCTCTTGAGGAAAATCTATAGCAAGTGCATGATTCAGTAGAACAAAAATGGTGTAGAAACTGTCTGTGAATCAAGATTTTTAGTTTTAAATTGACACACTACCGTTCAAAGGTTTCGTTAAAAAAAAAAAAAAAAAAAAATATTAAGCAGTACAACTGTTTTCAGCATTGATAATAATGGGAAATATTTCTTGAGCCACAAATTAGTGTATATAATAGTGTACCTGCTCAAATAAATTCATTGCGAGTAACTTGATATCAAAAATCAAAATAGCTATTGAGTTTTGCTGTCCTGTTGTTCTCATACAGAGCACTATATATTCACTGTTGCACCGGAAAATTATAACCCTACCGTGTTGGCAACCCCAGTCTGGCCGTCCGGGATGAATCCCTCCAGCACGGTGTCCTGGATCGTTAACATTGAGCCACAGCTTGAGAGCAAACTGAAGTTCAGGAATGTCAGCCAGCCCAATTGTAAGGGGGAGCACACAAACATTGCAGTGTGGACCATTCCCTCGAAAACGGTGGTGTACAGTACTAATAAGGATGAGAATATTAATGAAATCCTGGTCCAAGGAAGTTTTTACCTTAACATGAAAAACTGCAATTCCTCAACAGTACCTTTCAGGGCAATGATGGACATCACCCTGCAGAACAACACAAGTGAGAAAGCCTTACTTTCTTCTGTCCACTATGTTCCCACTAGAATATCCATATAATATATAAATAGGGGGAAAACTTGAAAAGATTAATTGAAATGTATTATGTTTTCAGACCCCCTTCATGTGGTCATCATCCTGAGTATCGTGGGCATTGTGTTAATGATCATAACAGCCTTGGTGATTTGGATTATTCTCAGGTGAGAGTTTTCCAAAAATATATTTTAAATATAGCTGAAAGCAGCATTCACAGTGGTTCAAGCATAATTAAAAAAATATATAAAATTTAATTCGAAGACATTAAACATTTTATATAATATATAAAACGTATATTAAGTGTTATTAAACAAGCCTGTACCACCTAAATCAGAGATGAAAAAATACAATTTTCAGGTCATTTATAGCACCAATTTGTTGCCTGATCTCCTTAAAAGTTGAAATGCTTGTTTAGAATCATATATCGTATGTCCCTCTGTTAAGGGCTTTCCGGTCCCTGTACGACCGGAGTAGGAGCTTGGTTCGCATTGCCGGCAGTAAGTCAGACTTGTTCCCGGTGCATGTTGGACTCCGGTAGGGCTTTCCTTTGTCACCGGTTCTGTTCATAATTTTTATGGACAGAATTTCTAGTCGCAGCCAGGGGCCGGAGGGTGTCCGTTTTGGGGACAACACGATGTCATCTCTGCTTTTTGCGGATGATGTTGTCATGTTGGCCTCATCAGACCAGGACCTTCGGCGTGCACTGGGACGGTTTGCAGCCGAGTGTGAAGCGGCTGGGATGAGAATCAGCACCTCCTGCCTCAAGTGGAGGAGTTCAAGTATCTGGGGGACAGATGGATCGGTGCAGCTTCTGCAGTAATGCGGTCGATGTACCGGTCTGTCGCAGTGAAATCGATTTACCGATTTATCTAAGTTCCTACTCTTACGTATGGTCATGAGCTGTGGGTCATGACTGAAAGGACAAGATCCCGGATACAGGCGGCCGAAATGAGCTTTCTCCGCAGGGTGGCTGGGCGATCCCTTAGAGATAGGGTGAGAAGCTCGGTCACTCGGGAGGAGCTCAGTGTAGAGCCGCTGCTCCTCCACATCGAGAGGGGCCAGCTGAGGTGGCTCGGGCATCTGTTTCGGATGCCTCCTGGACGCCTTCCCGGGGAGGTGTTCCGCATGCGTCCCACCGGGAGGAGACCCCGGGGAAGACCTAGGTCACGCTGGAGCGATTATGTCTCCCGGCTGGCCTGGGAACGCCTCGGTGTCTGCTTAGACTGCTTAGACTGCTGCCCCAACGACCCGGCCCCGGATAAGCGGAAGAAGATGGATGGATGGATAGATGGATGTGCTATAGCCATCCAAATAATACAGTTCAAAATATTTATTATAATTATTAATCTAGGGAGTCTGAAAGAGATTTGTACTGAACTGGTTTTATTGAGGTTGAGCAAAAAACCTTGGACTAGTTTGTAAAAATCTTTTTTCTTCTTGAGGTAAAGTTGTTTAGAAAGAGGAGATCCAACAAATGATTTGAATGTGTATGTGTGAAATATCTCATTATATACAATCAGAATACACGTTTCACACATGTTAAATGTGATAGCGCCTATCTGATGGTAATTTCTTTCAAATTTTTCACTGTCTTTGGAGTCCATGAGTCAAAACGGGTCCACTGAGTTTTATTTTGATCGACCTCTGTTAACCTTGTCTAATAGCTTCTGAATGTTGATTGGCTGATGGTAGCCATATTTTTAAAGTCAGTGTCCTCATAGATAATGATGGTACCTTGGACAAAGACATTGAATGCCAATTTCTAAGACAGTCTGGCCAAATGTTGCGTAGTTATAGCCATTTTCAAGTTCTTTTCGGTTATAGCACCACCAAGTGGCCAAATGCTGGAATTTTTTTGATATTACATGTAAATGAGCCCATACACATGTGCACCAAGTTTGGTAAAAATTATCTCATTCCATTCAACAGTTATAGCCATTTAAGTGAAAGTGATATATTAAGTCACACTCTCTTCAAACATTTGGCAAATGTGTTTTTTTTGATAATTATTGATATTAGGTATCCAGAGAATGTTTCTTCACTGGTTTGGTTCTGATTAGGATCTGGGCTTTGTGTTTGAAATCCTAACAAGTATTTTCCTGTAATATTTAATTCTTAACAAAGTATCTTAATATTGCACAGGGAAAAGAAGAGGAATAAGGCTCCCCCTGTGTCCGTCGACAGTCCCAATCCGCATGCTTTCCTTCCAGGCCTCCATGGTATCCCCAAAACACAGGAGGAGGAGGAAGATCCTCACACTTATGTGTACATAGATGATACTCTAGTATATTCTCATCTGCTTTTACGTGATGCTGAAAATGAACAATGTAGTGATGAGAGCGTCCCTCCTTTACCTGACAGACCAGTCACAAAAGGTAAAAGCCTAGTCACTAAAGACAGCGTGTTGGTGGACAATGAGCTCTATGGTTATATTCAGGGACAGTCAACTACACCTGGCTCACCAACGTCTCCCATCAACACCTCTGAGGAAGGGGCCTATGGAACTAGACTGTCTTTGTGAGGGAAAAGAGGCCTTGATGGAATTTTATTTTCTACTTTAAAATTATATATTTTTTAAGTGTCTACGATATGTATCTATTTAGTGATTTCATGTTTGTACATCCTGCTTGTTTTAAAGATTGTATGTTTTTGATAATAAAAGTATTACATAACATACTTCTGGAAATGGAGCTTGTAATACTTTTCTCATAATCTTGCACAAGCCTTGTAATATGACTTTTAATTGTGTTTCTGTTGTTGTCAATAAAAGTTAAGAAGCCATTACAGACACAGAAAAACATTTGCAGGAATTACAGATTTTCAAAACAAGAATTGAAAGAGGAAAAAGGTGTAATTTCCATGACTATTTTACAAGTTTGCGATTTTGTATAAATTCTTAATATATATTTTTTTTAAATAAAGCATAAAGGTTTATCCCAAACCTAACCCTCAGTGGGGTGTAAGCAGATCTTACAAAACCAAACAAATGAGATTGTACAAATTCAAATGAATTTGCCAAAATGTAAAATGTAGAGTGCACTTTTTATGTAAATGCAGTTCCTGTTAGTTTACATAATAATAATTTTGATTAAAATTCAGTACTTAGTATTTTTGTCAATATAAACTTATTTGTGAACATACTTGTAAACATAACTATGATGATGGTTATATTAAAGATCCAATAGAGTTCTACACATTCTACTGTTTACACTTAAAAATAAAGGTTCTTTATTGGCACCGGTAGCTCCACGAAGAACCTTTAACATCGATGGAACTTTTCCATTCCACAAAAGGTTCTTTATAGTGGAAAAGGTTCGTCACACTAAGACAAAAAATTATTTTAAGAACGGTTCACTGAAAGGTTATTTGGGGAACCCAAAATGGTTCTTATATGGAATAGCTGTGGAAAGACCCTTTACTTTTAAAGAGCCGTATTTTTACAAAAGCCTTAATTTTTAAAGTCCCCCTGTAGTCAATAATTTTATCCCTTAAAACTCACATTCCATCACCAAAATGACATTTAAAGTTTTTTGCTTGAAAAAAAAATTCTTCATGCCTTAAAATAGCTTGAATGTAATTCTACTACAACCTTGCCTCATTTAGTATACGTGGTTCTATGAATATGCAAATGAGCTCCGCCTCCACTCACTCACTCAGCTCAGAGATCCACTGGTTGACGATCACACGTTGATCTGATTGGTTACAAGGTCGTTTGAAACGTCAGAAACACCAGCGATTTCAAACCATGTTTTTGAGACTCTCTTTTGGCGCTTTTCCACTGCATGGTACGGTACGGCTCGGTACAGCTCTCTTGTGGCGCTTTTCCACTGCATGGTACGGTACGGTACGGCTCGCTTTAATGGTACCACCTCTGTCGAGGTTCCAAGCGTACCGTACCGATACTAAAATGTGACGTGAACACACTGCAGATCACTGATTGGTCAGACAGAATTTGCGAGACATCAAACCAACCCCCTAGATTTAAATAGCCAGTAACAGCCACTGTAGCACTGTAGCGCTGTAGCACTTGTTTTAAAACTACTTGCTTGACTTACTTGAAGAAAAAAGAAAAAAAAAGAAAACTTCCAAAAAATAAATAGCTGAATTGTGGTCAATGGACGAAGGGCAAATGTTCCTCTCGTTGGTTGCCGTCCGAGGAGCGGATCAACTATAATGATCAGAATATAATCCCACCCACTTAAGCGGTACGAACTGCAGTGGAAAAGCAAACCGAGCTAAAGCGAACCGAGCCGAGCCGAGTCGTACCACGCAGTGGAAAAGCGAAGCGAGCTGAATCGTGCCGCGCTGAGCCGAACCGTACTGAGCTGTACCAGCAGTGGAAAAGCGCCATTAGGTTCACTGCAGTTTAAAGGAGAAAATACTCAGCAATACTGTCGATGGTTTGACTTAAAAGCATATTAAAAACATCATATAGACATCTAACAACATTAAAAGCTTGATTTTCACTACAGGGGGACTTTAAGAGGCATCGCAGTAAAAATAACTCCTTTTTGGATTTTAAGAGTCTAAGGATATTGCAGTGTCCACATACTTTTGTTTGTGTATTATATATGTTTATCATGCATCTACTAAGAGCTTAGACGATGTTGAACTGGCAGATAGATGCCCTTTCACCACGACAGTCCTCGTCGAACCACTTCCCTTTGGCCGTACTGGACAGGATGGCACAGTTCTGGCTGCGGCCCCCGTCAGGCTGATGGGTGATCTCTGATTCCCAGTTCTTAAAGCGTATTGGTGAGCCGGTCTGGTCAGTCCACTCGCCCTCCTTTAATATGTCATTTAAACCCAACCAGACGTGCCCTTCTGGCCCGATGGTCTGCCGGACGTACCCATACAGCTGGTCGTTCTCATCGCCTGAGAGAGGGCTGCTGAGTGTCCCACCTTTTGCAATGCAGTCATCGTTTGCCGAGTGAAAGGTCTTCTTCATCGTGTCTGCAAGAAAACATTTGCCTGGGATCTTGATGCCTTTCAGGCAAACTGAAGAGAGAAGGAAAGAGCTTTAGGATCAAATTTAAGTTAGATCTGTTCGTCCAGGTCATTACACGGTTGTACTGTTATGACCTGTGACTACACAACAGACAACACTGAATTCCACACACGTCATACTCGTGTGTATATATACACTCACCGGTGACTTTATTAGGTACACCTGTCCAACTGCTCGTTAACACTTAATTTCTAAGCAGCCAATCACATGGCGGCAACTCAGTGCATTTAGGCATGTAGACATGGTCAAGACAATCTCCTGCAGTTCAAACCGAGCATCAGTATGGGGAAGAAAGGTGATTTGAGTGACTTTGAACGTGGCATGATTGTTGGTGCCAGAAGGGCTGGTCTGAGTATTTCAGAAACTGCTAATCTACTGGGATTTTCACGCACAACCATCTCTAGGGTTTACAGAGAATGGTCCGAAAAAGAAAAAACATCCAGTGAGCGGCAGTTCTGTGGGCGGAAATGCCTTGTTGATGCCAGAGGTCAGAGGAGAATGGCCAGACTGGTTCGAGCTGATAGAAGGGCAACAGTGACTGAAATAACCACTCGTTACAACCGAGGTATGCAGCAAAGCATTTGTGAAGCCACAACACGCACAATCTTGAGGCGGATGGGCTACAACAGCAGAAGACTCCACCGGGTACCACTCATCTCCACTACAAATAGGAAAAAGAGGCTACAATTTGCAAGAGCTCACCAAAATTGAACAGTTGAAGACTGGAAAAATGTTGCCTGGTCTGATGAGTCTCGATTTCTGTTGAGACATTCAGATGTTAGAGTCAGAATTTGGCGTAAACAGAATGAGAACATGGAACCATCATGCCTTGTTACCACTGTGCAGGCTGGTGGTGGTGGTGTAATGGTGTGGGGGATGTTTTCCTGGCACACTTTAGGCCCCTTAGTGCCAATTGGGCATCGTTTAAATGCCACGGCCTACCTGAGCATTGTTTCTGACCATGTCCATCCCTTTATGGCCACCATGTACCCATCCTCTGATGGCTACTTCCACCATGTCACAAAGCTCTAATCATTTCAAATTGGTTTCTTGAACATGACAATGAGTTCACTGTACTAAAATGGCCTCCACAGTCACCAGATCTCAACCCAATAGAGCATCTTTGGGATGTGGTGGAACGGGAGATTCGCATCATGGATGTGCAGCCGACAAATCTGCGGCAACTGTGTGATGCCATCATGTCAATATGGACCAAACTCCCTGAGGAATGCTTCCAGCACCTTGTTGAATCTATGCCACGAAGAATTGAGGCAGTTCTGAAGGCAAAAGGGGGTCCAACCCGTTACTAGCATGGGGTACCTAATAAAGTGGCCGGTGAGTGTATATGAGAGAATGTTTTCCAGGTACACGTACATCAACAACAAAATCCTGGAGACATTACCCCTTGTGAAACAGAAGTGCTTAACTAACTACATATACGTTTTATTAAATACATAACATTCACATTTCAATATAATGACACTAAGTATATTTTAGTTTACCATAAATGCTTGTCAGTATATTTGGCAGTGCACTTTAACCTTATTTTTGATAGAGGAATTTATGAAATTACATATAAAGATCTACTTAAGTGCATATTAAAAGCTTACTCTAAAAGCACTCTAAGGTTCAGCTAATTGCATTCAATATACATTTAAACTATAATAAAGTTTTATTTAATTTCAATTAACATGCAATTGAGTGTCCGAAAACATTACATTCAGTTCACACTTAAGTCTTCTTTTATTTTATTTCAAAGCATATTATTTTAAAGCATTATTATTTGTAAACTGTAGTTCTCAAAAAGTGGGCCAATTTAGTCCCAAGAATTATTGAAATAGTACACTCTCAACTCAAGTATACTACAAGTACACTAAGTTTAGTATACTTACTACCTAAATTATACTTGGAAAAGATACTTGAACTGAACTTAATTTTATTAAATAAAATGAACCTGAAGTATACAGTACTTCATATTGTTGTGTATCTGAGTGTCAATCATTCAACCAATGTAAATTTGAAAATACCCTAGATGTTGTAACTACACCATTCTGGCTACAAAACGTCTCGGTTATATATGTAACCCTCATTCCCTGAAGGAGGGAATGGAGACGTTACGTCCACGTACCGACGAATTGGGATCTCGCCTGAGAGCAGGAAGATGGGACAGGGCTTACGCCGAGAAAGTCGATCACTGCTGTTCTGCATGACCCATTTAGCGAGACTATTGGATAACACTGGGAAAACGTGCCCTTATGTTTTAAAAAGGATGCTGCGGAATCCGCATCCTACCTCTAGGGAGGTATTACACATATGGACTGGCGTTCGGGCAGCATATGGAATGTCTATGAGGTTGCTCCGGCTCTCAGCCTGAGGGGGCAAGGCATGCCTTGGGTTTAGTACGCCAAGGCGATGGCATGTATTATCCAGTGGGCCATCATCTGCTTGGAGATAACCATTACCTTCTCCTGGCCTCGGTAACAGACAAAGAGCTGGTCTAAGGCCCTAAAGCTCTGCGGTGCGGACAGAGCAAAGCCAGGGATGGGTCTGCCTCATCCAAGGGCAGCGCTTGCAGGTTCAACACCTGGTCCTGAAAGGGAGTGGTGGGAACCTTGGGCATATCCGGGCCTCAGGATGACGTGAGATTTAGCCGACCTGAATTCCAGACCTGGTTCGTCGACCGAAAATTCCTGCAGGTCCCAGAGCCTCTTGATGAAAGCCAGGTTCTTTCTCAGAGGAATACGCCAGGGAGGGGCTGCCGTGAGGAGCATGAGTTCTGGGAACCAGGTCCAGTTGGGCCACTATGGGGCAACTAGCAAGACCTGCTCCTCGTCCTCCCTGATTTTGCACAGTGTCTGTGCAAGAAGGCTGGGGGAAACCCATACTTGCGTAGGCCCCAGGGCCAGCTTAGTGCCAGTACATCCATGCCGATGGAGTAAAACAACTGGCAATGTGACGTATCAGGGGCGGCAAACAGGTCTACATCTGCGTTCCTGAAGCATCTCCATATCAGCTGCACAATTCAGCAGGCCTGGAATCTGAATGGCACGAAGCGACCTCAGATGCTTCTGACTACATAGGAGGAGATGGCGGGGCGAGTTGCGTCATGCGACGAAAGTGCATGATGGTTGATGTACACAACGGTCGTAGTGTTGTCCATACGGACCAGTACGTGCTTGTCTCGTAGCGGTGATTTGAGGAGGCCCAACGCAAGACGTACTGCTAACAACTCAAAGCAGATGATGTGCCAATGCAGTTAGGGGCCCGTCCAAATAACCACAACTGCATGCCTGTTGTACATGGCCCCCCAGCCAGTGGCAGAGGCATCCGTGGAGACCACAGCATGCCTGGACACTGGTTCTAGGGGAACTCCTGCCCGTAGAAACACAAGGTTGGATCACAGGCTGAAGGTTTGGCGGCAGGCCAGGGTGATTGACACTCAGAGCCTGCCGCTCTGCCACGCCCATCTTCGGACTCGGCCGTGAAGCCAGTACGAACCAATTTGTCGAGATAGTTAAGGCTGCGAACGCCGTTTTCTCTCAGAGGAACAAGGGTCGCCTCCGCATTAACATCTTGAACAGGAGCTTGTGAAGGGCCTGACTCAAGACTCGAAGGTCCAAGATTGGCCGTAACCCACCGCCTTTCTAGGGCACAATGAAGTAAGGGCTGCAAAATCCTGTCTTCATATCGGCTGGAGGGACTGGCTCTACCACGTCCTTCTCCAGTAGGACTGTGATATCCGCCGTAGCACAGGAGCACCCTTGATCAGGTGAACTTAACTTGAATGTCCCTGAATTTGGGGGGACGTCGGGGGAACTTAATCGCATAGCTGAGTCTGATGGGAAGACCACCTGGTTCCACGAGTGGGCAGGAAGTGCGTGAGAAGGCTTGGTTGTGTTCTCGAGGCGCACGCTGCTGCCCGCTGGCGTCAGAAGAGGGGACTAAGGGTGGCCAGGCACAGAGTCGCACACAGCCAACTGCGGCCTCTTGGGACCTAGAGATAGAGGAAATTGCTCTTTTATTGAAAATTTGGGTACCAAATTATACAGAAATAAAACCGAACAGAAGATTCTCCACCCGGCACTTCTCAGGGGGAGGGAGTGGTGCGGTCACCATCTCCTGAAGAGCTGTTTCCTCCGTCTCTGGGTCGCCCGTCTCAGGGCCGCTTGTTCTTGCACTTGCCGCCTGGTTTGGCAGGGGCCTAGATGGGCCGACGGCGAGGTGAAGGCAGCAATTGGTCGTCTAGGCAGTATATGCTTGACCGCCTCCGTCTGCCTCTGTGCGGTGGAGAACTGTTGGGCAAAATTCTCCACCACGTCACCGAAGAGGCCGGCCTGAGAGATAGGGGGGTCCAAGAACTGATATTTATCGGCCTCCCGCATATCTGCCAGGTTCAGTCAGAGATGTAGCGTGCAGTGACTTTCATCACTAGTAGGGTGAGGTCCATCGCTGTGTGCATCTCCTGCATAAGCCCTGGGTCAGTACTAGCCTCGTGCAACTCCTTTAAAGCCTTGGCCTGGTAGACGTGCAGGAGCCATGGCATGCAGAATGGAGCCAGTCTGTCTAGCGGCTTTGTAAGCCTTGCCCGTGAGAACGGACGAGAACTTACAAGCCTTGGATGGCTGATGCGGATTACCCCTCCAGGAAGCACTTTTAGGACACAGGTGCAACGCTAGCGTGTGTTCAACTGGAGGAATATGCATGCACCCTTTGGCCACTCCGCCATCAAGGGTAGATGGCGGAGTGAAGTACCAGACCAGTTTTCGTCAGAAAAAGGAACAAACGAACCGCTCAGCTCCGAATTGAAAGGCAAATGTGCGTTGCATCTGCTTCCGTATTTATACCCACGCTACGTGGCGGAGCGTGAGATGCAAATCTCGCACGCCAATCTCCATTGGCTCATTTAGCTTACACTCAAAGGTGATTGGGCTCTTAGGCAAGATCCCAATTCGTCGGTACGTGACGTCAAACATGACCAACTGAAAGGGAAAGTCTGATTTTAAAATGAGACATCAACATTTTTACAACATACCACAAATATTTCATTATATTATATTTTACTAGTGCCCAATTATTTTGAATTTGAGTTTTGAGTTGTTTCGAGACCCAAGAAAAAAAACATGGACACATTAGACTTTCATAGTTTTGATCGCTTTATTATTATTAATACAATTTACAAAAATAATATTAAATAATGTGTAAGCGTAACTTATGACCAGTACTTAACGTTGGCTGATAACAGAATTCTTCCTAAATTCTAACTTTGAAACAAGTATTTTCTTTAAAGCTGCTTTGAAACAGGATGTATTGTGTATTGTGCCAAATAACTTTTTTTAAATATATATATTTCAATCTCTTTATTTGAATTATAGATATACTTTATTCAGTACCTGTTTGTAAGGCTTGTTGTTCCTTCAAAAGATTCAGATCCTGCACAATCTGATCGATCTGTTTCTTCAGCTCCTCAATAGCAGCACTGTTCGACTCTTTTTCGACAGAATTTACACATGATAAACAAACATCGCCAGTTTAAATTCATGGTATGCAATATGTTTTCAAAACATTTAGACTGACTTAACAACTTTTAATTAATTTAGTAAAATACTAATTTTGTCTAATCTAATGTTTTACCACCTATAATGCGAACTATTGCATAAAAACACAAATAGAAATGGTTTATCATTCGTTCATCTTAATAACGCATTTTCTGTTTACCTTTTTTCCCATTCTTTGTCTTTGTAGAGCTCTCCTCCGGGCTGGACCGCACCAGACAAACGACACAAAAAAGAAGCTTGACGGCTTTAAAATCCATAATGCTCACCTTAAACTGTGTGTAGAAGCCACTGATCTGCTCTGCTGAAGTCAAGCTGGCCGTCACGAGCTGCGTAACAGCACGAGGAACAGATGATTTTCATTTAACAGCATGTTGAACAGATCAACACGCCTTTTTTCTGGCACTGCATGGCTGCATTATTGCAGTACTGCACTGCAAGTTATTTCACATCATTATTGTTAGTTATTATTATAATGACAGTAGTAGTATATTGTATTGCACTGCATTATTTACTAGTGGCTTCTTGTTACAGTTGTTAATCATCAATAGTAGGCTAATGTGAAATCTTTGTATTTATCATACTCTGTCCTGTAATTTGCAACCAACACATTTTTATTAGGATCATGAATTTGATTTAGTGTCTAAAAGCATTTTTTATAAAGGTTATTTACATTTGTTTGTGATATTGTATTACATCAGCGCTATAACCTCACTGGGTGGAGTGTCATGTCCGTTCTCCACACTCACAGGCACTTGGCAAGCGTGGGATAATATGAACAACATGATGGGTGTTAACTAGAAGCACATGATGCAGCAGTTATAACCAGTGTTGGGGAGAGGGACTGTTAAAAGTAATGCATTAACATTACGTTATATGCTTTGCACCGAAAGTACAGTGCTTTTTCTCATCTGGGCTGGGCTTTCTTGTTTGTTTTTTAATAATAATAATAAAAGTTATATTACATTTTGGCAAATGTGAAGGGCCTTTCACACCAAAAGTGAAATGAATAAAGCCTCAGACTGAAGGAAATGCAGATTCACGCCTGTACAGTAGAGGGCGCCGCTCAAACAAATAAAAAGAACAAATTAAACACAAATGTGGTCATTTTTGCTTATTTGTATGGTTGAATTGGAACATTGAATGTCAGCAGCAAAGACATGGATTAACTCTTTCCCCGCCAGCATTTTTTATTTATTTGCCAGCCACCCCCAACGTTTTTGAGTATTTTCCCAAGACTTTCACGGCCCCCAGATTATTATGTTGTATGAATATCTGAACATGCAATATATCAAAAGAAACAACAGAGCCTCTGAATTGTATTCTAGCTTCATGCATTCTTGTTTAATGGCAGATTCCCTCTGTGACCACATGCCCCTATGATGCCCTAAATAAGTATTTCTTCCTGGCAATAATACTGGAAAAATGTTCAATATTCTTTCTAGTTAAGACTTAAGTGCCTATAGACTGACTATATACTGGCTCAATAAACCTACCATGAGAAATATTCACTAGCGTAAAAGTGTGACAACTAGCCCCGCTCTCCAGTTTCAAGAGAAACTTGTTGCAGTTGCAGATCACTCACAATAATTTGTCAGGCTTATGAATATTATGGCATTATCCTTCAGGATTTAGCAAATATTCATTTGTCTTTGAAGCAGAAAAGAATGAGAAATAGATCAAGATTTTTTTTTTTAAATATATATTTTATTTTTTGCTTCGAAAAGTATAAATAAAAGTAAGAAACATAAATCGCCATATAGTTTATACATATTATACAAAACTGTCAGACACATTATTAGTATCCGGTCATATTAATTGAACACAAAGACCAAAAGAAACCTCTGATCAGAATTATTGACCATTGATTGCGGTCCAGCTAATAAGTAAGTCTTGTTCTGCAACCAGTTCAACGGGATCTGCACACGAGCAGATCTTACATTCAACACCGGCGCAGAACGCAATCTCAGCATGTAGATTTGTTTAATAAGGCGTAATGTGTGTCAAGTCATGAAAATACGGTCAATGCATAGACTCTCTGCAGTAAAGCTGTTTTACAGTGAACTGATGTTTAGAGACATAAGGCATGTTAGCATGTAAAAGAACAGTAAGTGCACACATGGATGGACTACATGCGCTCAGTGTTGTAGATCAGCGGCTCTCGGCTGGGTTTGCTCCAGGACATCAAGTGGCCAAACACAGTGCCAAAACTGTTTATCGTGCCAAAGTAAATACAATGTTTAAAATCAATATTATCATGAAATGCACAGCCCACACAATATGCCAAATTATTAATATGACATTTGCAAAACTGGCAACATCAGTCTGTCCCAGGGTTGCCAAGTCTGCGGTGTTCCGGTGGGATTGGGATACTTTTAAATTGTTTTCTTTTCTTCTGCGGGTTGAAGGTTTGACATGTTGCATAAGTCACATTTGACTGAATTGCTCGTATCGTAATATTTTACTCCTTTGACAATCATCCAATGATAAAACTGTGCTAGATAATGAGTTTTGTCAATATATTATAAATACATTATGATTTTGAATACTACCGTGTAGTGATTTTAAAGCTGAAGTTGTGTATAACATATAATAGTGACTGTAAAATATATATAGTTTTTGGATATTTTGGAGTGGCATTTTATGATTGTCCATCATTTGTGTCGCAGACCTGGCAACCCTCATCTCTATCTATCTATCTATCTATCTATCTATCTATCTATCTATCTATCTATCTATCTATCTATCTATCTATCTATCTATCTATCCATCCATCCATTTATCCATCCATCCATCCATCCATCCATTTATACATCCATCTATCCATCCATCCATTTATCCATCTATCCATCCATCCATCCATCCATCCATCCATTTATCCATCCATTTATCTATCTATCCATCCATTTATCCATCCATCCATTTATCTATCCATCCATCCATCCATCTATCCATTTATCCATCCATCCATCCATCCATTTATCATCCATCCATCCATCCATCCATTTATCCATCCATCTATCCATCCATCCATTTATCCATCCATCCATTTATCCATCCATCCATCCATCCATTTATCCATCCATCCATCCATCCATCCTTCTATCCATCCATCCATGCATCCATCCATCCATCCATCCATCCATCCATTTATCCATCCATTTATCCATCCATCCATCTATCCATCCATCCATCCATCCATCCATCCATCCATCCATCCATCCATTTATCCATCCATCCATCCATCCATCCATCCATTTATCCATCCATCCATCCATTTATCCATCCATCCATCCATTTATCTATCTATCCATCCATCCATCCATCCATCCATTTATCCATCCATCCATCCATTTATCCATCCATCCATCCATTTATCTATCTATCCATCCATCCATCCATCCATCCATCCATTTATCCATCCATTTATCCATCCATCCATTTATCCATCCATCCATCTATCCATCCATCCATCCATTTATCCATCCATTTATCCATCCATCCATCCATCCATCCATTTATCCATCCATCCATCCATCCATCCATTTATCCATCCATCCATCCATCCATCCATCCATTTATCCATCCATCCATCCATTTATCTATCCATCCATCCATCCATCCATCCATCCATCCATCTATCTATCTATCTATCTATCTATCTATCTATCTATCTATCTATCTATCTATCTATCTATCTATCTATCTATCTATCTATCTATCTATCTATCTATCTATCTATCATCCGTCCATCTATCATATTATTATCTAGTATTTATTTGAACAGGCCTGCGACTCATTTTTGTAGTGTGACCCATCATTTGAGAACCGCTGATTTAGACTTAGATAAACTGATGTTTATCGTGGGATGGTGATATTTGTAAACCCACACCTCTCTCTCTGACAGTAATCACGCAGCATTAGTACATTAGGACAATCCACCTTATTTTTAACATAAGATTAGTAACCTGAATGTGCGAGGCTTCCGAACAAAAACAGTCCGTTATGCAGTTGCAACCTGGTATTTGTTGTCCTATTATTTTAACGTCCAATTTGACCATTTACTGCCCTTTGTTATTCATAGTTTTGCCACTATAACGGCTAATGAATCAGAACACTGGCACATTCACAGGAAATAGCGCAGAATAAGGTGGATACCGACATTTACATCGAGACGAGCCCTAAAATCCAGATCTGCATTTGTCCTCCAATCACTAAACACACACACAGCAAACCTGCAAACACACAAACACAGAATACTGCAAACTGTGAGGTAAAACATGCAAAATACAGTCCGACACGTCAGCACAGAAGAACTGAAGTCAAACACATCGTGCATCGATCGACTGACAGTGAGAAGGTCAAATCTGAGGAACACCGTCAACGCAATCCTGAAGACTGAAGTGGTGATCCTCTCTCTAGGTGGGACAGAGCACTGTGAACGAGAAATCATGCTCAAGTTCTGATATATAATAACAGAAATCATCATGAACAGATCAATACTTGCTTGTTTGATAAGTAACAGTAAAGGGAGAAACCAAAGGAGAATTTATGAAGAATCTTCATGCTGCTTTTTTCCTACAACAGTTTATAGTGAATCTGTCAGGATCCAAGAGGAATCAAAAACACTACAATTGAACACTTCTGAATCCTTACAATGTCGTTTGCTGTTGACTTTGAGTATATTTAGGCTCCTATTGTCACCGTTGGCTTTCTTCTTATTATGATTATTCCCCTCTTGAGTCTTGAGTTATAAATTTGGCACACAGATAGAGGACAGTCTGAACTTTAACCACAGCTAAAAAAACAAGTCTCTAACTCAATCTCTCTAGCGCCACCAACTGTCCAAAGTTGCACTCACGTTTACACTAATAACTTTTGAACAGTAAGGGCTAGAAACAAAATGATTTTTTCCACATGATTTTGAAATCATTCTAATATGCTGATTTGATACTCAACTATTATACATTATTATTGGTGCTCAGTTATAAATAATGGTTCTTATCAATGTTGAAAACAGTTCAACCCTGGAAACACTTTTTTAAAGGTTCTTTGAGAGACAGAAAGTTCAAAAGAACAGCATTTATTTGAAATTTAAATCTTTTGTAACATTATAAATGTTTTTACTGTTATTTTGATCAATTTAACGCATCCTTGCTGAATAAAAAATATGTTTTTAATCTTACTGCAAACTTTTGAATGGTCGTGTATCACTGTTTCCACAAAAATATGAAGCAGCACAACTGTTTTTAACATTGATAATAATCATAAATGTTTCTTGAACAGCAAATCATCATATTAGAGTGATTTCTGAAGGATCATGTGACACTGAAGACTGGAGTAATGATGATGAAAATACAGCTTTGATCACAGGAATAAATAACATGTTACAATATATTCACACAGAAAACTATGGAAGCTTGTTTCCGCCACTGAATAAAAAAATAAAATAAAAATAATTGCGACTTTTTATCACACAATTGCGAGATATGAAGTCAGAATTGTGAGAAATAAAGTCGCAATTGCGAGATATAAAGTCGCAATTCTGAGAAATAAAGTCGCAATTGCGAAAAAAAGGACAAAATTCTGACTTTTTAACTCGCAATACTGACTTTTTTTACTCTTAATTGTGAGTTTACATCTCGCAATTCTGACTTTATAACACATAATTGTGAGTTTATACGAAATTCTGACATCTTTTCTCAGAATTGTGAGATATAAACTCACAATTGCGAGTTATCAGGCCAGTTCTAAGGGAAAAAAAGACTGACTTTTTTCCCCTCAGGATAGTTTATATCACGCAATTCTGACTTTACAACACGCAATTCTGACTTTATATCACGCAATTCTGACTTTACAACACGCAATTTGACTTTATATCAATCAATTCTGACTTTATATCTCGATGTAAACTCGCAATTGTGAGATAAAAAGTCGCAATTACCATTTTTATTTTTCATTCTGTGGCGGAAACAAGCTTCCATAGAAAACAGTTAAATAAAATAGTAAAAATATTTCACAATATTCCTGTTTTACTGTATTTTTGATGTGGCCTTGGTGAGACTTCTTTCAGATTCCAATCTTCTGTTTTAATGATGAAGTCATACAGATCTGAAACCAGCCAATAATGGTGATGAGTGAGTAAATAATGACAGAATTGTCTTTAATTCCTTCCCTTGGACATGTATCAGGCCACTAAAGGAGAGAGTAAAGCGCAGCGCTCAGGGGATCGACTCATGTAACCGAGCAGCGCTGGCCGTTGCCGGGGAAGTTTACAGGGAGGCTACAGTGAAACACTATCTGTTGCTACGGTAACTGCGGGAGACAAACACAGGCGCACTATGATCTAAATGCTCATTATCTATCAACTAAACCTCTGACAAACCTCACAGACCAGCACTAGAACAACTCCTGCAAGAACAGAGAGATCATGAAGGAGGACGAGCAGAAGATGATAGTGGAACTGAGATCTTAATAGTTTACATGTGAGCAACATAATTCTACATTAAGATGACTTTCTATGATGATCAGTTTCAATAGTTCATTGTTAATACTTTGCAGAGGAACACAATCACTGAGTTGAGAGCAACAGGACGCAGAATTGAAATATGTAAAATTTTTGAATCTGAATCTAAAGGTGCGTAAAAACTTCACAGGGGAAAGAAAGAAAGAAAGAAAGAAAGAAAGAAAGAAAGAAAGAAAGAAAGAAAGAAAGAAAGAAAGAAAGAAAGAAAGAAAGAAAGAAAGAAAGAAAGAAAGAAAGAAAGAAAGAAAGAAAGAAAGAAAGAAAGAAAGAAAGCAGGACCGGATGTGACAAAATAATAACACTGATTTAAACATCCAATGTTCTGAGAACGTTTGGCTTTAACATTACCATTAAGTTATGAAAACCTAATCGTTCAAAACATTCACTTTTTTAAAATGTTTTAAAAATGTTTTTTTCTTGGTTATTAGAACATTAAAGGAAAATGAAGACGGAAAACTGTCATCAATGGCGGGGAAAGAGTTAAATGTTCTAAAACCCTTCAAAAACAATTAGTAACATTTAAAACATGTTAGACGAACATTTAACTTTTAGGGGAAAAAACATTCCATGAATGATGTATAAATAATGTTTTTGTGAACATTATTAAAGACCAGATAACGTTAAACAAACGTTCTATCAATGTTACTGAAAGAACGATCCTGGGATTCCTCCAACTCTACATAACTGCTCACCAAACAGAGTTTCTTTTAGAAATTATTTCATAATATTGAAGTGCCGTGTCACACACAACTGGCTGAGTAGACACTGTCAGAATGAGAGTCGCGTCCATAGTGGATCTTCAGTTTTGCTATGTTGTTATTACATTCATTTTTGCTCATTTTCATGGAAAATTCCAATAATTGCGAAGCTGAAATTAGCCTACAACACATTAGTGCAGAGAAATTAATGCACTATGGAAATGTCTGATTTACATCATCATTATCATGTTGATGTCAATAAAGTCTCTGAATACAGTGTGCTGTATGGAAGTAAAATAATGCCAAATGTTTTTGAAACAAAAAAAGCCTGTTGAATTGCACTATTTGCGAAGCGAAATAAAATGGACCGAAAATTACCTGTTGAATATTATAGGTTGTATTTTTAAACAGTTTGAATATTTTGGAAGTGATATATGAAAGGTCAATATGGATTATTGAATTTTTAATAATAAAAATGTGATGAATTGAAATATTCACAGCTTAAATATTCAACCATGTTCAATTTCAGCCCATAAACATGCAAACCCTAAAAATACAAAGCATTCAAATGCAAGCATGGTTAATGCAATGCCTATTTTTTTCCAAGTAGTGCATTCAACAGGCTTTTCTGTTTCAAAAACATTTGGTATTATTTTACTTCCATAGTGCTGGACATTTTATGGTGCTGCTGTATATGGCAAAATCAAACGCAATTATTTACGCTTGTTGCAAAACTTGTGTTGGACTAATGAAACTCCTTGAGTTCTTCTGGAAAAGTAGAGTTAATTTGTGAAGAATATCATGATGAACGAGACGTGTAAGGATCATGAAATTTTGTTTGTCACAGAGCTTATATTTTCTGCAATAATCCAAAAGTCAATGGAAAAATCCTATTGGTTTTTCGTTGAGGGAAGCGTGATGTGAACTTACAAAAATACGTCATAACTATTCTTGAATTAGGCATTTCTGTTAGTTGAGTGTTGTTACCTTTGAGGATGTAGTCTGTGAGGAGGCTTGGGACTTTATCACTGTCATCCCTCATGGCTTCTAAAACTGCAGAAAAGCGAACGTTAACAATGATAGGTCAAGATTTATATACCATTGACAACTTGTAGCAGAAAAGCAAGGCATTGGTTAGAGATCACAGCAGCACTTGGTCTCACTTTTGGTAAAAATCTGCAGGTCTTGGACTGACGGCGGCTCGTCTTTCCTCTCGTACGGGATTACCGTTGTTACATACTGAATAAAAGATGAGCACAGATGAGACGGGTTAAACACACCACTGCATGATGGGATGCGTCTCACAACAGTGTGTGTTCACTCTCTCTGCAGTGTTGGGAAAACTACTTTTAACTTTACTTTTTAAAATGTATAATCAGATTGTATGTCAGTATTAAGACAGTATTTATGTGGCACAAAAAAGTTCTCTATAAACACATTACTTGCACAGATACTTTTACACTAAATACAACAAAGTAAACTAAACCACTGATCAGCTCTACCAAACTTGGATGTCTTTTTCCAGTAATAAACAAACACTGTTAAGTTGTTTTGATTGATACTGTGAAGCAGCTTTGATACAATCTGTATTGTGAAAAGCGCTATATAAATATATTTGACTTGACTTGACTAAACACCCGACACCATTTTCAACTAAAAACTGAAAACTTTTAATGTTTTGGCCGTTGATTTACACGATAACGGTGTTCTCTTTCATAGGTTCACTCAACGCTGCGGAAAGCGCAGTGGGATATCCTCTGGATGTGCCGATTGCCTGAAGCCCTATAGAATCACGCCAATTCATTGGCTGATGGCGCTCGCGCAAAGCTGGCTCCGCCCCGACGCTCTTACGTCGTAGCATGATGAACGCGCGCGCGCCATCTTCTCCTCAGATTTCTCTGCCTTCACGAAGCGGTCACATCTCGCCCTTCGTTCGGTTTTTCTGAGCCCTAATTCTTCAAATTCAACTTCAGCTTTCGTCTCGACACTTCAGCGACTGGTATAAGTGGAACTCTGTTCTCCTTACAGTGAAGTGTCATGGATTATCGACGCTGCTCTCCGCCATGCGTTCGTTTTATCTCGAACGACGACCCTCACAGTAAGTGTGTTAAATGTATGGGTTTTTCGCATGCGCGTGAGGCTGTATTGGGATTGTCGAAATGTAAATTTTGTGACAATCTCCTTCTCAAAACCCTCCGCTCTAGACTCGCGGTTTTTGAGAAGGAGTCATTCGTTCCCCCCCGTCGCGCTCCCGAGACTGCTGAGGCCTCTCGTGGATCCGCGGCCTGGGGCTCGGATGTTGAGCTCGAGGATATTGAGTATGAGCAGACGGGCCTCGCCCTTTCTCTCCTTCCCTCTCCCGAGCACGCACGCGGCGCGGTTGAATTCGCGCATGATTATTTATGTCCCAGCCCGGGAGCCCACGAATCGGTTTCTTTCGGTCTGGATGACGTGATTTACACTGCAGCCTCCGACTCCGAGGATTTCGGGCCTGCTTTGGCTGATGACGTTATCCCGCCTAGCGGCCAGGACGCGCGGCCTACTCCGGCCTACACTGAGCTTATTGACGTGCTGTCGTGCGCTACAGAGAAGCTCTCTATTGACTGGCCTGATGAGCCCCGCGAGTCTCAATCGTCCTAACTCGACGAGAGGTTCCTACGTGGCCCTAATTCTAGGCCAGAGCGAAGAAAGCTGCCCTTTTTCAGCGATCTGCATCACGAGATCTCCAGATCCTGGAAGCAGCCTTTCTCCGCACGCCTAACTAACGCGGCAGCCGCTGACTTCACCAACCTTGTGGGTTTTGTGGAGCAGGGTTATTCCGCTATTCCAGCGGTCGAGGACACGCTGGCTAACCACCTCGCCCCGTCGTCTGCACCGTCCTGGAAGGCGCGTCCCCTTCTTCCTTCCAAGGCTTGTAGGACTACTTCCTCCCTTATTGGGAAGTCTTACATGGCGGCTGGTCAAGCAGGCATGGCCCTGCATACCATGGCCATCCTTCAAGCCTACCAAGCGGACGTCTTGAAGGACATGGATGAAGGAGAGGGACTGACGCCCGAAGCTGTCAAAGAGCTTCGCAAAGCCACAGATCTGGCCCTAAGAGCCACCAAACACACTGCTCGGGCTGTTGGTCGCTCTATGGCGGGCTCGGTTGCTGCAGAGCGCCACCTCTGGTTGAATCTCACGGAGATCCGAGACAAGGATAAGAGTTTCCTCCTGGATGCCCCTATCTCCCTCTCAGGTCTTTTCGGGGAGGCGGTCAACACGGTGGTTGAGAAGTTCCGCGCCGCTAAGTCTCAGTCGGCCGCGTTCAGGCAGTTTATGCCCAGGAGGGTCAGAGGGCCAAGAGACTCCAACCCTTCCCCTTCTCAAACCCGAGAACGCTCTGCTCATAGGGCTGAATTCCCTACTAGCAGGAGTGACCCGGCTCACCACCCTCCAACTACGGTCTGGGGAGCCCGAGGTCGTCCATTTCCCCGCCAGCGCCCTCACAAGCGCCTTCAGCTGAAGCGGTCCAACAAATCGGCCGCTCCAGCCTCCTCGAGCCGTTCCTGACCCGCAGGTCAGAAGGAGGAGAGCCTCACCAGATCTACGAGGTTGGGACAGACCGCGCAAGCGTTTCTGCCCTCCTCCACCCGGCTCTCCTCATCCAACCTTGTCACCTTCGCCACCCAGCGTGTTTCGAAGTGCAGGTCCTGTTTCACTCTCTTCACCCAGTCCGGCGCAGGAGGAAGGAGACGCGTCTTGCTTTCTCCCCTCGCTCCCGGTGCACGTTACACCCGCCAATCGCTTCCTCGGAGGCACAGTTCGTTTTCCTCTGGAGCAGGCGGACCCAGTTACTTCTATCCAGGTGGTGGTACCCCCCAGTACGTGTCAGGACGCCAAGCGCTCTCCTCCACGGTCATCCGCGCCTCCCCATGGGAACCAGCGCGACACCCTACCTCAGGTATGTCCCTTGCACTGCAACACTCCTCTCCCTCTATCACATTTCGTTCAAGAATGGGAGCGTTTACCAGGGGTATCGCCTTGGATCCTTCGCACAGTTCGGCTCGGCTACACGCTTCAGTTTTGTCGCAACCCCCCCTGCTTCAACGGGGTCTTTCCTACTGTAGTCGACAGCGCCGCTCAGGCTTCTGTACTACAGCAGGAGATTTCATCCCTTCTGCTGAAGGGGGCGATAGAAGAGATTCCTTCGGGGGAAGTCGAACAGGGCTTCTACAGCCGTTACTTCCTGGTCCCGAAGAAGGGGGGCGGCCTGCGGCCGATACTAGATCTTCGCCGGTTGAATTTCTCTCTTTACAAGGGAAAATTCAAAATGTTGACGCTGAAGGCCATCATATCTCATATCCGGCTGGGGGACTGGTTCGTGACGATAGACCTCAAGGATGCTTATTTCCACATCCAGGTCGTACGGCGACACAGGAAGTTCCTCAGGTTCGCCTTTGGAGAAAAAGCGTACCAGTACAGGGTCCTCCCCTTTGGCCTCGCTCTAGCGCCAAGGACGTTCACAAAGTGTATGGATGCTGCTCTGGCCCCGCTGCGGCTCCAGGGCATCCATATACTCAACTACCTGGACGATTGGCTCCTTTTAGCCCACTCCAGAGAGTTGGTGACTCACCACAGGGACATTATCCTCCGTCATATTCAGTCTCTCGGTTTGAGGTTGAATACGGAGAAGAGCGTTCTTACTCCAGCTCAGAACACGGTTTTCTTGGGGGTACGCATGGACTCCGTTCTTATGCAGGCCCGTTTGGCTCCTGCACGGATTTCCAGTCTGGTGACATGTCTGTCCCGTTTTGCACTAGGCCAGCATGTTTCCGTGAGCACCTGCCGCAGACTTCTGGGCCTTATGGCCGCGGCCTCCCCTGTGCTACCTCTGGGGCTACTCCACATGAGACCTTTTCTGTGGTGGATGAAGCTCTCAGGGGCTCGGCCCACGGGGCCAGCCCTTCGCCTATTGAAGGTGTCGCGCAGTTGCTTTCGCGCCCTGTCAATCTGGCGGGACCCCCTCTTCCTTCAGAAAGGAGTCGGTATGGGTGCGGTATTCCGTCGCCAGATGGTTACGACGGATGCCTCTCTGACCGGATGGGGAGCGGTTTTCGAGGGCAGGCCAGCGTGTGGGGTTTGGACTGGCGAGACCCTCTCGTGGCACATAAACAGCTTGGAGCTGAGGGCTGTCTTCCTGGCTCTTTGCCACTTTCTCCCTTTCCTCGAAGGACACCATGTCATTGTCAGAACGGACAATATGGCAGTAGTGTCCCATGTAAACAGACAGGGGGGTTCACGATCGCGCACCCTAGACAGGCATGCGCGTCACCTTCTCCTGTGGTCCCAGGACAAGTTCCTCTCTCTGAGAGCAGTTCATGTCCCAGGGATTCTGAACCTCGCAGCAGATTTTCTGTCGAGGCAGAAGCTCAGGTCTGGGGAATGGATGTTGAACCGCCAGACGGTGGCCCTGATCTGGGAGGTGTTCGGAAAAGCGGAAGTGGACCTCTTTGCATCTCAGGAGTCGTCCCAATGCCCGCTTTGGTTCTCTCTGAGCCCTCCAGCTCCGTTGGGGATAGATGCGTTCGCCCACCCTTGGCCGATGCAGAAACTCTATGCCTTCCCGCCCATCAAGCTGATCCAGGCGGTTCTGTCCAGAGTGAGGGAGAGCGGAGTCCGCCTCCTTCTGGTAGCCCCATTCTGGCCGTCCCAGCCATGGTTTTCGGAGCTGATCCCTCTGTTGGAATCCTCCCCCTGGGAGATACCGGTCAGGGAGGACCTGCTTTCCCAGCTTCAGGGCAGGATATGGCATCCTCGCCCCGACATTTGGAAGCTGTACGTTTGGCCTATCAGAGGCCGTTACCTTTAAGCTTTGATCTCCCAACTGACGTTCAGGAGACCATTGCGAATGCTAGAGCCCCTTCGACGAGGAGGCTATATTCCTCCAAGTGGAGGGTGTTCGAGGCATGGTGCTTAGCACATGATAGGAACCCAGTTAACTGCCCAGTAGGCACAGTGCTGGAATTCCTGCAGGAAAAGTTTGCTTCCGGAGCGGCCGCTACCACTCTCAGAGTATATGTCGCAGCTATTGCCGCTCATAGAGAATCAGATGAGATTCCCTTGGGGAAACTGAGGTTAGTTTCGGCCTTCATAAGTGGGGTTAGGCGCCTAAAACCGGCTCGCCCCCCTAGTGTTCCCTCGTGGGACCTGTCAGTCGTCCTGGAGGGTTTGTCAGAGGCTCCCTTCGAGCCCTTGGAGTCAGCCCCTGAGCGGATTCTGACTCTTAAGGTTGCTTTTTTGTTAGCCTTATCTTCATTAAAGCGGATGGGGGATTTGCAGGCTCTCTCTATTAGTGAGTCATGCTTGGACTTCGCTCTTGGCCTGGTTAGGGTTACTTTGAGGCCGAGGTCGGGGTATGTACCCAAGGTTCTTTCCACGGCGTTCCGCTCTCAGGTTGTTAACCTTAACGCTTTCCAGCCTCCTCCTTTTGCCTCTGAGGAAGAAAGAAAACTTAACTTGCTCTGCCCGGTCCGTTCTTTGAAGTTGTATGTAGATCGCTCAGGCGGTTGGAGGAAATCAAACCAGCTCTTGGTATGTTTTGGTGCTGGCCGCCGCGGGCTTGCAGCATCAAAGCAAAGGATTTCCCACTGGGTAACGGATGCTATTTCGCTGGCTTACGAGGTGCGTGGTTTGCCTTCACCTCTTAGCATCAGAGCACATTCCACCAGAAGTGTGGCTTCCTCTCAAGCTCTCTTTAGAGGGGCCCTCTTGGAAGACATTTGTGTGGCGGCAGGTTGGTCCTCTCCGCACACCTTTGTGAGGTTCTATAATTTAGATCTTGACATGACTCCAGGTTCCCAGGTTCCATCTGCTTGAACCTGTCATGGTTGTTATTATTATTTGGTCTGGTACCAGTTATGGCAGCGCTTAGCTTGGCGAGTTTGGTATTTCGTTCCCACTGCGCTTTCCGCAGCGTTGAGTGAACCTATGAAAGAGAACGTCTCTGGTTACTTACGTAACCTATGTTCTCTGAATAGGGAACGAGACGCTGCGTTCGCTGCCAAGCTCCTCGCGCTGCCGACAGTTTTTCTTTTCGGCAGAGAAATCTGAGGAGAAGATGGCGCGCGCGCGTTCATCATGCTACGACGTAAGAGCGTCGGGGCGGAGCCAGCTTTGCGCGAGCGCCATCAGCCAATGAATTGGCGTGATTCTATAGGGCTTCAGGCAATCGGCACATCCAGAGGATATCCCACTGCGCTTTCCGCAGCGTCTCGTTCCCTATTCAGAGAACATAGGTTACGTAAGTAACCAGAGACGTTTTGGAGTGTGAAAACGCAAGTATTACGTGTTCAGTCGTGTTTTTTTTTTTTTTTACAAAGTGACATCGCCATCTAGTGGCCTGGCAGCAGAATACAGCCTTTTTAGTTGTTTTTGCAGATCCGTGTGAACAGAGATCATTTTGACAACTTTGTCGTCTGTACAAGAAAAACGTAAGGGAAAAACTTTTTCATTTTTAGTACACCGTTGTCGTGTAAACGTACCCTTAAATTACTAAGATAAAGCATATGACAAGTTAAGCACCAACATATACAGTAACAGGGTCAAGGAAATAACTCCCACACTTTTTTTGTCAGCCAAATCTTTTTGACCTACAATAATTTCCTAAAAAGTGATATTTTAAAGTTAATGTTTCAAATATTTAACAACACATGTGCATGTTCTCTGATGACGGTTAATGGTCACATGACATGCATGTAAACAAAATAGCATACTTAATCTTTTTTTAATAATCGTTTTATTTTGACCCTTTTCACAGAGCACTTTTCTACAGTTTATATTGTAAATCTAGCTTGTATGTTTATTTATATATTATTAATTATTATCATATTATTCATTAATAATTTAAATGACAGAAAAGCTGCTGTGTGATGTTATCTTATGCAACGCCTGATGGAGTGACTGCAAATTTGATGTTTCTCTCTTCTGACTACTGTAATCAAGCTCACGATATTTTATTTTTTTTGGCTGTTGGAAAGTCCCAGAAACTCTACTGAGGACTTTTTCTTTTGCTATCGGATCAAATGGGAATACAAAAATGATATTTGTTGTAGTTTCCGTTCACCGCTATAGAAGTTTACCTAACTACACTGCTAAAGTGGCAAAATATTGAATGGCCTTTAAATGATCTTAACCATTTTATTCACAAATCACTGGTCAGGAAATTAGCAAGAATTGCACAATATACTGTAGATAAAGTAATAGCCCTTCCCAACATGCAGACAGACTTTTCCAGGAAGAAGAGTCAGTGTTGTTCCACTCAATGTTAATGGCTTCAAACTATTCACGAGTAGTTGACCAAATTCTCCCAGTCCGTTTGAGTTTAATGTGAGACCAGATATTCACTATAGGCTTCAAGTCTGGACTCTGACCAGCCAAAGCATGAGCCTGTTGGACTCAATCTCAAGACACTTCTTAGTTGTCTTTGGCCATTGTCTTGTTGAAAAATAACATCTGATCAGATAACAACTTTTCAATTGAGGGAAGCAAGCCATTCTGCAATATTCTCCTGTACTCTAAAGGATTAAACGGCTTTATACCGTGAAGTAGCTCACCAATACCAGCAGATAAACACAACGAAACCTCTTCACTGTGGTAGAGATGCATTATTGTATTATTTCTCTGCAGATTTCCAAGACTGCTCTGAAGCAACACCATGCAACTCGTGTTTCACTGTGATTCATCACTCCACACACAACTTCCCATATTCTGCCAAAAACTCCTTTTCTGAGACAGCAATGGCTTTTCAAGTAGTGCATTTTCTAATTTCAGGACCATTAAGACAATGTAAAGCTAAGTGTTTAGCCATTTTGGACTTGGCTTATTTCTTTCCCAGGAGTGTATGAGGTACTGTAAGTGACTGTGAAAAGGGCCCATATTTACAGTGTACACTATAAAAACACCAATATTTCATTTATTCCCAGTTCTGAATAAATTAATATTTCCCTTAGCTACATTCTCACGCTGGATGGCAATTTTTACCAATTCTGGCCCGATGCAGCAACTTTGCTGCTAATCAGCAACTAATCCAGCATAATATTGCTACTAATTCAAATCAGCCTTAGAATTGAAAATGCCCAACAAAAGATATCTGGGTATTTAACTCACTAGGCTTCTGCTGATAACACACTAGAGCTGAATGTTATGAGGCGAGCAGATTCGACAGTCTCAGAAGAGAAGAGGAAGCGAGAGGAATATCCACCTGTTTCTCACCGCCCCCGTTCCTAAAAGTGTGCCGGAAACCATTCTGAATGGCAGTAGAGATGCCCTCCATGCTGAAGCGCTACGAGCACCGAACAGAGGAAAGAAGAGAACGAGACAGGGACAGCAAGAACAGAGTGAACGAGGAAATAAAATCACATCAACTACAGCAAGAGGTACTTGAGGAAGAAGAAAGGGATTGGGATTGACATCTCAAATGTGTTTCCAGACCAGTAGCTACTTGTGATCGGATATCGTGTTTCAGGGTTGTGATGGGAACATCAAATATATCAAACTAAATCTCAAGCGCAGTTGAGCTTACACACCATTTATGATGTGCTCTATGTATGTGTGTTGATCAAAGTTATAATAAACGTCTAAATTAAATCTGATTACTTTTAACATGTCTTTATAAACTTTTTGAAGCTGGATAATTTTGCTTGCGTGGACTTGAATGGACAGAAATATAAGAAACATCGGTAACACTTTACTTGAAGGGGTGTGCATAAGACTGACATGACACCTTCATAATCATGACATGACACATGTCATGAATATGAAGGTTTCATACATGTTTATGACAACTGTCATTAAGTGTCATTCGCTCAAATATGACATTTTCTAATACAAATATGACATTGTTTGAGATGTCTTTGTTATGACACCTTGACATTACTAAGACAACACAACCTGTCATAAATATGTCATAAACATGACATAGCAGATTAATTATCAAACTTAAGAAAGCACTTAGCTTTATGGGTTAACATTACATTAAACTGTCATGTGGTTGGTTTTGTCATTGGCTGTCATGAGGCATTATAACGTTTTAATGACAATTCAATGTGTACCACTGTAGTTGAGGTCAAGAAAAATATTCATGACACAGTTATAATGGCCTCATGACAGCCAATGTCAAAACCAACAGTTTAATTTAGTGTTAACCCATAAAGCTAAGTGCTTTCTCAAGTTTGATAATTAATCTGCTATGTCATGTTTATGACATATTTATGACATGTTATGTTGTCTTTGTAATGTCAAGTTGTCATGACAGACACTGACAGGTTATGATGTATTGGTTTATGTCAAGTTCTCATAACCAAGACATCTCAAACAACGTCATTTTTGCATAAAAAGTGTCATAATTGAGCGAATGACACTTAATGACAGTTGTCATAAACATGCACAAAACCGCTTTCATATTCATGACATGTGCCATGTCATGATTATGAAGGTGTCATGTCAGTCTTATGCACACCCCTTCAAGTAAAGTGTTACCGAAATATCTTAATTTGTGTCAGATGTCTTAAGGGTTTGAACTAACCCTTTGAAGTCAGCATGAATCTGAAGTTATGACCACCATAGTGTGATGCATTTCTGAGTGAAAAGGCTTATTGAACAATGATTTTATCCACTGGCTGTAGGTTACATAGTGAAAAGTGAGCGTTGTTTACCATAACGAATGTGACTGGCTTAAAAATGCAACGCAGTCAGCAAACAGAAATATGCATGATTGAATATATACTTAGTTATATTAAAAAAATATCCTGGCTCTTCCAAGCGTCGGGTCAGAGGTCACTCTTCCACCGGAACTAGACTCACGTACAGCCGTTCCCGGAAGCCAGTGATTATAGTTTATAAAATTATAAATATGGATATTTTTCTTACAAAAACGCATCGCTTCACATCAGAAGGCCCGCTGGAGTCGTGTGGATTATGTTTATGATGGATGGATGCACTTTTTTGGACTTCAAAATTGAAGGTACCATTCACTCCCATTATAAAGCTTGGAAGAACCAGGACATTTATTAATATAACTCTGGCTGAAAGAAGAAAGTCATATACACCTAGGATGGCTTGAGGGTGAGTATATGGGAAGATTTTCATATTTGGGTGAAGTAACCCTTTAAGAAAATGAATAAGGTCAATTTTGATTTTGAAGTGTGTGAAACGGCAAAAAAACACAAGTGTTTCCACTAAACTGCCCAATCTAATGACTCCTGCTACTCACAGAAGACGGCAACCTCTCCGACCCAGACACGCTCCTCACCCTCCTCTTCTTCTTCAGCATCTCTCGCTGCACCTTCTGTCGGTTCTGTACGTCGATGAGAACCGAGATGAAGCTGTTCTTCACCTCCTTCTCAAACTCCAGCTCGTCCCTCATGGCCAGATGCTGGACCAGCTCCTCTGAATATCCCCGTATGAGCGTCTCCACGTCCTCCAGCTCATCGCTCAGCTCCTCGACACACATCAGCTTCACTCCTGCGCCGAGAACACACACTCAGACACAACACTTCAAATCACGTTTATTTCTATACCGCTTTTCACAATACACATCGTTTCAAAGCAGCTTTGAGTCCACATTACAATCTAGAGAGATCTGTTATCAGAGCCCAGCAAGCAATAGCCATCATTTCACCGTCTAGGTTAACCATAGACCCGATATAGTCCGGCTATGAGTTACACTTCTAGCCAAAATAACCTTGAATTTGGATACATGTCGTTGTTTGCCAGAATAACTTGCGAGATGTAAGATATTTCATCATGTAAGCAAAGTCAACAGTGATTACAAGGTGTTTGGTTTCATTTCTTCACTCAATTCATTTCCTTGTTATCTAATTGATGACTATAGTCTATTTTTGGGTAATGGTTTAGACGTATATTACATTTTCACTGACAGTCCAAATTTTGCCTAGGTTTAGCCTAGACGTCTGGGCTGTGTTTGGACGGCTATTAGACGTCTTTTAAACGAAAAATTGCTTGCTGGGAGGTAACTGTCTAAGTTATGTATTTCAGAAATACAAAATCACAGTTAGCTAAACATGTATTAATTTAAACAATGTAGTAATTTAACGCAGATACAATGAAGTAATGCATACTTGTTTGTTAACAAATGATTATGACGTTTAGATAATATAGCATTGGTGCATGTTGATAACCCCGAACACGTCTTCCAGAGGGACGTACTCACTGTCCTCGTAGATCTGGATGCTGTGAGATCTGTGGCTCTCCTGAGAGATGAATGAGTGTGAAGCTTTCTGCTCCGAGACCATCTCTGGTGAGTCCTGCATCAGCTCCTCTATCTCCTCAATAACCTGAAGATAACCATTCCTTTCAGATATACAGCTCTATACTTTTTGTTTTGGGTTGGTAAGATTTTTGAAAGGAGTCTTTTTTGCTCAACAAGGCTGCATTTATTTGATCAAAAATGCAGTAAAAACAGTAATATTGTGAAATGTTATTAAATTAAACTGATGTTTTCTATGAGAATGTTTAGGCACTGAGGGTGTGTCAGCAACTATTGCAATCATTGGCGTTCTTCTCCTTCGCTCGCGTCTATAGCCGCACATAGAACCGCTTTCTAAAACTGTACGTACATTTCTTTCATACTTTAGACTATATACAGTGAAATTTATTTATAAATATATATTTATATATATATACACTCACCTAAAAGATTATTAGGAACACCTGTTCAATTTCTCATTAATGCAATTATCTAATCAACCAATCACATGGCAGTTACTTCAATGCATTTAGGTGTGTGGTCCTGGTCAAGACAATCTCCTGAACTCCAAACTGAATGTCAGAATGGGAAAGAAAGGTGATTTAAGCAATTTTGAGCGTGGCATGGTTGTTGGTGCCAGACGGGCCGGTCTGAGTATTTCACAATCTGCTCAGTTTCTGGGATTTTCACGCACAACCATTTCTAGGGTTTACAAAGAATGGTGTGAAAAGGGAAAAACATCCAGTATGCGGCAGTCCTGTGGGCGAAAATGCCTTGTTGATGCTAGAGGTCAGAGGAGAATGGGCCGACTGATTCAAGCTGATAGAAGAGCAACTTTGACTGAAATAACCACTCGTTACAACCGAGGTATGCAGCAAAGCATTTGTGAAGCCACAACACGCACAACCTTGAGGCGGATGGGCTACAACAGCAGAAGACCCCACCGGGTACCACTCATCTCCACTACAAATAGGAAAAAGAGGCTACAATTTGCAAGAGCTCACCAAACAAGGACATTAGAAGACTGGAAAAATGTTGCCTGGTCTGATGAGTCTCGATTTCTGTTGAGACATTCAGATGGTAGAGTCAGAATTTGGCGTAAACAGAATGAGAACATGGATCCATCATGCCTTGTTACCACTGTGCAGGCTGGTGGTGGTGGTGTAATGGTGTGGGGGATGTTTTCTTGGCACACTTTAGGCCCCTTAGTGCCAATTGGGCATCGTTTAAATGCCACGGCCTACCTGAGCATTGTTTCTGACCATGTCCATCCCTTTATGGCCACCATGTACCCATCCTCTGATGGCTACTTCCAGCAGGATAATGCACCATGTCACAAAGCTCGAATCATTTCAAATTGGTTTCTTGAACATGACAATGAGTTCACTGTACTAAAATGGCCCCCACAGTCACCAGATCTCAACCCAATAGAGCATCTTTGGGATGTGGTGGAACGGGAGCTTCGTGCCCTGGATGTGCATCCCACAAATCTCCATCAACTGCAAGATGCTATCCTATCAATATGGGCCAACATGTCTAAAGAATGCTTTCAGCACCTTGTTGAATCAATGCCACGTAGAATTAAGGCAGTTCTGAAGGCGAAAGGGGGTCAAACACAGTATTGGTATGGTGTTCCTAATAATCCTTTAGGTGAGTGTATATATATATATATATATATAATTCCGAAAGTAAAAAAAGAAGCAGGAACGAACTATATGTACATATCCTATATTGGATATTAACATCCAATAGTGTAAATCGCGGCAGCAGCTTCAGATTGGTAGTCCAAAGCATTGTTGTCTATCTGTACTTCCGGGGTTCTTCCCACCGGAGCCTTGCTTTCGATTTCAAAATGGCGGCTGCGTGATATAAGCGAATTAAGAGTCGATTCGTTCTCAAATAACGCGCAAATAACAGATTTGACGAAGAGCACGCCACATTTACGTGAGGCTAAATCTCTGCAGCTCCTTGCCGAGTAAAAATATTTATTTTTACAAAACATTTTCTCTACTGTACAAAAGTTTGGGGTCAGTATATGCTTGGCCATTGGTTTGGTTTGGTTACTTTGCTCTGTTATCTATTAAAGCTAGTTTCCGCCACAGAATAAAAATAAATAAATAAGGCAATAGGCTTTATGCACAGCTTCACTACTTCCTGAACTTCAGCCAGCCCTTTATTTCCTGTCTGTCATTATTGGACAAACTGATTAATCCAGGTGTGCCTGATTATTGTTACTGAGGCCAGGCACACCTGGATTAATCAGTTTGTCCAATAATGACAGACAGGAAACAAAGGGCTGGCTGAAGTTCAGGAAGTAGTGAAGCTGTGGCATAAAGGCAATTGCGACTTTTAACTCACCATTCTGACTTTTTTCTGAAGTTTATATCTCACAATTCTGAGAAAACGGTCACATTTGCGAGCTATAATCTTGGAATTTTAAGAAGTTTAGTCAGAATTGCAAGACGTTAACCTCTTAAGTGTCGCGCCCCCTTTTTTGAATAAACATGTAAATGTACAATCCGAACTTAAATGGTTGTAATTCAAGAATCCTTTAGAATATAGATGCAAGATTGGTCTTGTTTTAAAGACACAGAAGACAGATTTTTGTAGAAGTTAAATAAATTTAGAAAATGAAACAGAAAAAAAGTTATAGAAGTTTAAGTTTATGAAAATGTAAAATGTAAAAATGTAATTATTCTTATTTTATATAAAATATAATTTTTCAAAACCTGGTGGACTCTAAAACTAAAACAAGAAAATCAAAGCCAAAGCTCTGAACAAGTTGTGTTTCAAATTTTAGGTTGATATCTCAAAAAATGAGCTTTCAGTGAGATTTTGTTTGGGCGCAGTACCAAACGCTTCCACTAGGGCACAACCAGACTCCATTATTTACTGCCCATATACGGGCGCCTCCATATCCTTATGTGTTTTGAGTGATCTGAACCATTATTTCCACAATTTTCATACAATTTATGAAGTAGGCATCTTATTCAGAAGTAGTAAGGGAAGTTTGGCATATTTTGATATGAATTCAACCTCTAATAATCACATAAAAAGAACACCCATGTGCGTTATAGCTCGCTGCCACCTCACAAATGGTGAATCTATCATTTTTTTTCTTTATATTTACAACATTTTCAGACCTTTTTTTTCTAAAAAAAAAAATAATGGATGTTATCTTTTGAACTATTGGCATGAAAACAAACTGAGGTTTCTACCATTCTTTCATGATTTTTCATGTTCATCACTATTTCAAACTAAAGGTCTTAACACGCCTTAGGAGTATGAAAATATTCTTGTTGCAAATTGATAGTTAATTGATAGCAAATTGACATTATTTTGAAAATCAATCACCAAATATGAAAACCACAGATTGTAAGCTTTCGAATGATATAGTTTGTCAATAGGTTTAGTATAGGATATTACTGTTTTAAATATGTAATGGCTATGGGCCCGCCGGTGACACTTCTTGCAATTGCGAGGAAAAATGTCACGATTACCTTTTTGAATTTTTTATTCTGTGGCAGAAACAAGCTTCCCTAATGGCAGGCTGTACAATACTTTAAATGAGCTGAAATAATTGATACGGTATGTTTTGTAGACAGCAGTGAGTGAGGTTTAGTGCACACCTGTTCCGCGGTGAGCAGCGGCTCCTCGATGATGCTGGACACGATGATGGAGTGCATGTCCATCTGCTCCCTCAGCTCCTCATCGTCAGACAGATCCAGGTTCACAGCCTCCACCCGCTGAGCGGATGACATGGAGGAAGCGTTACCATGGTCCGAATCCCATCATTGGGACTTAAAGGGATACTTCACCCCAAAATGAAAACTCTGTCAGTAATTACTCGCCCTCATGTTGTTCAACCCCGTAAGACTTTCGTTCATCTTCACAACACAAATTAAGATATTTGTGATTAAATCTGAGAGCTGGATCACTCCTCCATAGGCTTCTATGTTATTGAAACTGGCCGGGCCAGAAAAGTTATGAGTGACATCGTTAAAATAGTCCGAGTGACTACAGCGGCTCAACCTTAAGTTTATCAAGCGACGATTCATTTCCTTCTCTGTGGGCCTCGAGTGAGTTCACGTAGTGTAACAGCGCAGCGCTTCTGGGCTGTACGTCACGCGCATCACACACACATGACCAGCGTCGGCCAATAGTGAGCCTACGTGTGACGTACAACCCAGAACCGAATCTCGAGGCCCACAGAGAAGGAAATTAATAGTTGAATAAAGTCGCTATTTTTGTTTGTTTTTTGCGCACAAAAAGTATTCTCCTCGCTTGATAAACTTAAAGGAGTAGTTCACTTTAAAAAAAACTTTTGCTGATAATTTACTCCCCCCCATGTCATCCAAGATGTCCATGTCTTTCTTTCTTCAGTCGAAAAGAAATTAAGGTTTTTGATGAAAACATTCCAGGATTTTTCTCCATATAATGGACTTGGCTGGGCACCAAACGGTTCAAGGTCCAAAAGACAGTTGGACTGTCTTTTGGTATTCAAAAGACAGTCCAAAAGACAAAAGAAAGAAAGACATGGACATCTTGGATGACATGGGGGGGAGTAAATTATCAGCAAAAGTTTTTTTTAAAGTGAACTAATCCTTTAAGGTTGAGCCAGTGTAGTCACTCGGACTATTTTAACGATGTCTTTCATAACTTTTCTGGGCCGGCAAGTTTCGATCCCTTAAGAAGCCTATGGAGGAGTGATCCAGCTCTCAGATTTAATCAGAAATATCTTAATTTGTGTTCCGAGGATGAACGAAAGTATTACTGTACGTTCACACCGCCGCCGACTTGAGCTTCCAAAGCGGCCGGAAGTCATTCATTTTCAATGGAAGCTGGCTTCTCTCAGCTGCAAGGAGCGTCAAATCCATCGGCGTCGCGTTTTGGGCGTTTTGAGCGTCAATCAGAAAGTTGAAAGAAGCTCAACTTTATGGTAATGAGCTGTGACGCGGTTCAGCGGCAAAACGCCAGCAACCAATCGGAATATAGACGTCCCTCGCGCTGGCTGATTCCGGAGAAACACACGATGTAAACTTTCGTTCCTACCAAAACATTAGTTCCGAGGAAATGGAAGAGCAGCTAATAATCGCCGTTGCTGGGTTTCCTACAGGTTTCCTATCATTTATGACATGACGTTGTTTGCTTATAGGGACCGAATGAGCGCAACTTTTATTTGAAATATTTACGAACGCTCGTTTTAAAGCGGGAATGCAATTCATTTGCTCACGGTGAGACCGATTTGACCGCAAATAATAATAGAAATAGCTAACTATTCTTTTTTTCCCGACCAAATGTGACCAAAACGGTTATAAAAATGCTGTCATTATAAAAGGTTTCTTCAATGGATTGCTTGTTTTTTTTTCTGTTTTTTACATTTCATGTTGTGACACTTCTCTTCTCCCTGCAACGTCAGAGCGTTCAAAGCGTTCAAAGCGTCAACAAGCTTCCCTGTACTTTTTGACAAGCGTCCTTGACAGGGCAGCCAGAGCTTCTTTGACGCTCAAGTCGGCGGCGGTGTGAACGTACAGTTAAGGGGTTGTAACAACATGAGGGAGAGTAATTACTGACAGAGTTTTCATTTTGGGGTGAACTAACCCTTTAACAACACAAACACAGGTTCTGGGTTTAGACTCACCGGTCTGTCCTCAAGGCTCAGCGTTGAGAGGTGAAGTGATCGGACTCTAGACTGATTCCAGTCCACTGGCTTGACGTTGCTATAGTTGTCCGTGAGAGCATTCCAGATCCTTCATGGAGAAAAAAATAAAGAGTATATGACCAAAAGAGAACTTCCCTCCCACAAAGGCCCTGTTTAGGGCCTGGTATTAAGATGCGTTTTGCTCGATCGGATCACAAGTAGACGAGGGACACATTCCCGTTTACACCTGGTGTTTTAATCCGCCTCTTTTGTCCACTTTCAACCACTTCTGTCCTGATTTCTTCCAGGGGACGGTCTATGGGCGGGAATCTGTCTTGGGCGTCAAACAACCTCTGGTGTTCACTTTGTGGAGCTCAAACTGTGCCATCTCCGAAACAAATCTGTCTTTTACAAACTATCTAACATTGGCGACGTTCTTCCTTTAGCTAGACTCATCTTTTTGAAGCTTGCATGGCCATAAAGTACTTAGCTGGGTGTTTCTCTAGTTGGGATTATCTCTTTACTAGGTTCGATGTTTACAGCTGTGGACTTCTTTAGTTAGCTTAGACTGCATTATGGCCCTAGATTGTTCTGTTCGAAGAGAATCATCTCTGTCCGATCTGGCTAGCACACTTCCCATAGTGTTACGCGTTAGGTCGGTAGACGGAGAACAGGCGTCTTTTGTGGGTGTTCGAACATATTCGATCACATGAGTGTTTACCAATCCAGTCGAATGTGTTTTCTACCTCTGGAAGTGGCTCTGGACGTTTTAGACCCCGTTTACACCTGTATTTAGCATCGTCCACTTGTGATCTGATCAACCAAAATGCATCTTAATACCAGGTGTACACAGGGCCAAAGAGCTGATAGACCTTAGTCAGGGTAGCGTCATTTTTAATGTTTGACTTAATGAAAGTGAGGCTGTGAGGGAAAGTACAGTGGAATCATTAAGCCCAAAGTATACTTCTGCAAACTGTCTGCGTGATGTTATTTTCGTGACCAGGACGGTCCATCTGCAGTTAATTCAATATGGCGTCTAACAAGGTCTAACACAGACTAAATTTTTTCCCATCCACTGTGGTTTTAAAATAAAATGCAGTGCCTTTTGATGCATCATTTCAGTTTTTATTCTGTTATGCTTTAATCAAAACTGAAACTTGTGGTTTTTTTTGGGGGGGGGGGGGGGGGTCATGCAACTATACGATTAGACTATTACCATACAACTGTTTACAATTTAGTTTGTTTGTCTCTGAACAATCATGCTTGTTTACAAGAGACCGTAAACAACATCCAGTCACGTGACCTCTGCTGATGCGCAGGAATTCTACATGCTGGCCATTCCTGCTCCGTTAACTTAATAATCAAACTCTATCCTCTGTAAACAGTGCGATGTAAATGCCCCAGGGACACAGATTAAAGCTTAATGCATTTTAAGACAGCATCATGTCATGCATTCATTAGATCCACGTTGTTATTGTCTCTGACATCATTCGCTCAATGGTCCACTGATGAAAATAGCAACCGTGATGATGTACATTAATGCAGTGTAGCGGATTTTACTCTAATGCATGCCTTTCATTGACTTACTCATCACATTTCAGGCTCGTATCCTCATTTATTGGCGTCACTGGATAGATTGCGTCCGGTTTAGAGTCTACATTTTGGAAGCATAATCGTAACTTCTCGTCGAAGTGTTTGATGATCTCGTTCTCAAGCGCGCTCCCGCTGTCTGAAATTCCATCCAGAAACAGCGACATCTCTTCAGTGTTCACGTGAACGCGCTCCAGGAGAGTATTATTCCGTTGTGTTCCGTCCTTGAACGCGTTGAATTCTTGCCACTCATCTTCATCTCTCTGCGATGAAGGCTCCGCCATAACTGCAAATGCAGAGACGCTCTGAAAAGGCACGGACAAAATTACGAACCCTACTAAGGCGAAAGCGTAGCTCATGAATATTAATTAGAACACCGTGGAAACAGCGGCGTGACCTAATTAATATTCACCAAACTACAGCTAGCGTCATGCTTTTCAGCCAATCAGTTAAACCCGTTGTATGAACGCCACGTTGCGTAATTAATATTAATGAACAACGATTTCTACACTTGCCTACTAGATTATATTTACTTACTATAGTATTTACATTGGATTGTAAACCACACCGATTCTTAAATATTTGATGTTATTTCAATGCAAGTCATTTATAACGAAGCGAAAATGTTTACGAATACTTTATTAAACTCGATACGCATAGACCATTTGTGAATGAACGTTTTTGTTTTTGTTTTTTGGTCAATGAAGAAATTGAAATTGTTCATAAAAGTGGCCTGAATAACTCACGAACCATATTGAATCATTCCGAGTGCTTCTCAAACTCACCAAACCGATAATAATCATCTTTTTCTGACATTTCTGATTTATAACTATTTTTCTCCGAGAGCCGATCAGTAAGAGCGTTTGGATTGAGAATATGTCTGATTGGGCGAAAACTGATGAGATCAACATAGCCTACTGGAAATATGTTTACTATTCATGCCATTTTTGTATGGCAGTTTTATTAGTATATGTTTTTAACGTCCAAAACAATTTCAGGCAAATTATTCCAATTAAAGACGGCATGAACGGAAGTTGCGACAGTCTTTTCTCCCTATATGGTGACATATATCCGAGTGAAACAGCTTCTCGAACAAGAACAAATGCAGGGCTTAATTTGTACATGGGTTATTTATTGATTGTGGGTTGTGGTTTGCTATTGGTGGATCTCATGTGAGTGGCCCCGCCCTCGCGCCAGTCAACACGTCATCAGCTCCAAGAGGGAGGGGAAGTTCTTCTTTTCTATTCGCCTTTTCAGTGGAAGCTAAAATAATTACTTTGTTGCAGCTGGTTAGAGCAAAACTCATTTATAATAAACACAGCAATATTCCATAAAAACGGTCAATTTTGATTTCATGCTGACTTTTTTTCTTTTATAAATGTATTTTTATATTTGTTTATTTGTAAAAGCATTTATGTTTTTGCAGCTATTTAGATTTTTTTAATCATATAAAGTAAGTGTTTATTGAGGCATTTTGTGTATTTTATTCAAGCCATCAGAAATCTTTTGTTGTTGAATGATTGGGTTCCGCCGAACGCTGGCGCTCGTGAGATTCAACACCGTCGGTTCAGCGTTAGAGAAGAACCACACCGGAAGCGGAAGAGAAACCGGAAGTGCAGAAATGGAGGCTGCCGTGTTCATTCTATCACTCGTCGACTGCTGTGCTTTAATATTCCTCTCGGTTTATTTCGTATCCTTTATTAACGCTTGGCATGAATGAAGATGTGTTTGATTGACCGCGTGTCAGCAGGGGTGTGTGGTGTTGTTCCTCACGTTAGCAGGAGCTGCTCGCTGCACACTGTGATTGCGGATTGTTCAGTTTTTGTTAATCATTTATCATGATAATTTATCTTTATAATGTGCGTTTCACTCTATTAGCTACTATGTTTTAATACGATTCACTGAAGCTCAATGTGAGATTATAGTGGTTTCTCCTTCTGTCAGTGGAGGGATGGCTCATAAATCTGCCGCCCTATTTGAGATCATTTACAGATTGTTATTAATCATTATTTGTGATCTGTGTAATTACTTCCCTAACTCCTGCTCAGATTATCACCCTGTCTGATCTGGAGTGCGACTACATCAATGCTCGAGCTTGCTGCTCCAAGTTAAACAAAGTAAGTCTGGATTGTGAAGTTAAACGTGAAAATTCATTTACTAACATGAGTGTATTAAGTAATGATTGGCAAAGAATGAAATCCATTCATCTATCTATATATGCGTGTGTATTTACGTATGTGTGATATATATTGTGTGTGTATGTATGTGTAGGCTATGTGTGTGTTTTTTCTTTTTTCCTTGGAAGGATTTGTGTAAAGTGTGTAATTCATGGATTTTTTTCCCCACTCAAGTTTCTGATTATATCGTTTGTGTTTTTATTAATTGATTTCTGTCTGACATTAAAACAGTGAATGCGCTGTAGAAGTTGTAGAAGACTTCTTAACGCCACTGAATGTCTCACACAGCTAAATCTTTCACATTGAAATAAAAATGGTTTAACATTTCATTAGTAACACTAGTATACTGAATTGTATTCTGTAAATACTGGTAATGAAAGCATAATTAATGTTATTTTCATATATATGTGATTCTTACGGAAGCTTTTTTCTGCAACAGAATAAAAAAAAGTTAATTGCGACTTGTTTTGTCACAATTGCGAGATATAAAGTCAGAGTTGCGAGATATAAATTCACAATGGTGAGAATTGTTACCATTAGAATGTAAAAATCAAATTGAGTTCATTTTGTATTTATAATGGACACAGGGTGGCCGCGGGTCCTTAAAATGTCTTAAAGTTTTCCTAATAAAAGGCCTTAAAAGTATTAAAATGTTTTAAATTAAATATTTCTGGTCACATTACCGCTAAAATGTCTCCAGTCTGACGGACCCAATGTCCGCCAAATAACCAGTGAAGCATTGAATCAAATGATTCTGATTTTATTACATAAACAGCGATTGATATTGATCATGTGTTTCTGGTAGCGCTGTTGAGACTCGCTGTCTCTCTGAGATTTCATAGTGAGAAATTAAACAAAACGAGCATAACAGCACACATAAAAAACTCACAGAAGAAACATATTGAGGTCAAAATTCAAAAAGTTGAGTTTTTTTATTTATAACATATGATATAGTTAAGTAACAACATGACGGGAACTATTTTGCTGAATATTCTATAATTCTATAATAATTCTAACAAGTAGTTAAAATTAAATTACTTAGGTTAAACATTAAATATTACATATACGTTTGTAATATGTGTATTTCCATCACAGGTTTGGTCTTAAATTTCATTCAAAGTGGCATTAAAAGGTTTTAAAGGGTTAGTTCACCCCAAAATGAAAACTCTCAGTAATTACTCGCCCTCATGTTGTTCAACCCCATAAGACTTTCGTTCATCTTCGCAACACAAATTAAGATATTTCTGATTAAATCTGAGAGCTGGATCACTCCTCCATAGGCTTCTTAAGGGATTGAAACTTGCCGGCCCAGAAAAGTTATTAAAGATATCGTTAAAATAGTCCGATGGGGTGAACTAACCCTTTAAGGGAGCATTTCACCCGTGGTCTCTCAACTCCTCTACCAAGATATGGGACTTCCTGCTTAGAATGACGCAAATGACGATTTTTACATCATTATAAGCAGGAACTGCAACACTGAAATCCTTATTTCTCCCGTCTCAGGGAAAAATGAGGGAATAATGCACGACCATTCAAAAATAGGACTGGGTTTCTAACGATACAAAGCTTAATGCAAATGTGTGAAGTGTCCCTTTAAAAAGCCTTACTTTGAACTTGTTTATATCTGTAGGCACTAGGGGTGTAACGGTTCACAAAATTCACGGTTCGGTTCAAAACGATACAGTGGTGTCACGGTTCGGTACGTTTTCGGTACTGCAAAAAAGAAAGAAATGCCTGAGAAATTTCCTATTTATTAAAAGAAAAAATATTTTTTTAAAGTTTGAGTTTTCCTACATCTTATAAATGGGGGTAATCTTTGAAGGATGAACAAATAATGTTTTGGTCATCACATTAAAAATAACATTTAAATATATATTAATATAATATTTAGATAATATTTGAGTTTTGAAGTGCTGGAAAAAGATGTGTGAAGTACTTGAAAGCATTTCACTATTCCAGCCAAACTGGTTACAGTTAGTGTTACTATATTAAATCCATGGTGAATGTTGCTGGTCTGTGGACTTAAAGCCTATAACTAGTTCATTCACGGCACAATGTTTCTCCTGGCGTCCACGTCAGCGCTGTTTGATCTAATAGAGATCTACGGTTAATAACGGAGAAATGTGAATGCTTCTCACTAGATCTCGCAGCGATGTTATTACTTCAGTGGAGAATTCAAATGTTTTCTTCACTGGATCTCTTAGCACAGTGTCGCTTGATCTCGCGCTGCACAGATGTTGCTGGTCCGAACTGATAAACGGTCCGTTAAGCACAATATAATGAGTAGCGCAGTTTCGTTCTGCTTTCATTACGTTTGCCATTTGATGTTGCGCAGCGTTGTGGTGATCGCGCCAGCGCCGATTTTGTCGGCAGGAAAAATGGTCCAAGGAACCGTTCGGTTTGTATGCGTACCGAACCGGAAGCCTCGAACCGAAACGGTTCAATAATTACGAATACATGTACCGTTACACCCCTAGTAGACACCCTGGACAGATGAAGCACAGGAATGTGGTTCAAGTTTAATTGTTTCCGCATTTCAAAGAGTCTCGTAGTGCCTCTGCTTGTAAAACACGTCCGATCTCTTGGCGTGTGAAAGCTGATCTGAAGCCTGTGCTGTGTGTTCAGTGGGTTCTCCCTGAGATGATCGGCCAGGCTCTGGCCACGGTCCTGATGCTGGTGTCCATGCACTGGTTCGTGTTCCTGCTCAACTTACCCGTGGCATCATGGAACGTTTACAGGTGATTAATCTGAATCCCACAGAACACACACAGCATACACACACACCTGAGAAACACGTCATCATTCATGCCTGTGAACAGATACGTGAAGGTCCCCATGGGGAACATGGGAGTGTATGATCCCACAGAGATCCACAACAGAGGCCAGCTCAAGTCCCATATGAAGGAAGCCATGATCAAGCTGGGCTTCCACCTCCTCTGCTTCTTCATCTACCTGTACAGGTAAGAGATCAGCCTGGAGTCGTGTTGCTGGAGGCGCATGGCGCCGCGTCTGTCTAGGTGTGATCAATCAGTTTATTGTGTAAATTGCATTCCAATGCTCTAAATGACAATATTTTTATTTGGGGAAAATGTTGTCATTAGTTTATAGAATAAAATAAAAATGTTAATTTGACCCAAAAGACATATCTATAAATAGTAAAACCAGAGAAACGGATAATTTTGCAGTGGTCTCTTAATTTTGTCCAGAACTGTATATATACCGGTATGTATAAAGGCCTGTGTTTATTTTACAAATTGTAATATTTATTTATTGATTTGGAAATAGTTTTCCTGTTTTTTGTCTTTAGTTGATCACATGTCTGTATACTAAATTCAACAAAACACTATTAAATCACATAATCTAGAAATGACCTATCTAGCAGTGTGTTAGTTGACAGATTAAATGTGAACAGGCAAGTGGGTAGCGTGTGTGTGTGTGTGTGTGGTTCATCATCTCTGATGTGTTTTTCAGCATGATCCTGGCGCTCATCAACGACTGACCCGCAACCGTCTTCTGAACACAAACTGCCAAATCATAAACTGGCCTTTACATTTTGCGAAGAACTTGATGAACCCAGTCAGAAGCTCCAGCCCAGCTCTCCTCATCACTCGTTCCCCACTGACCACGAGCCGTCACGTGTCACATGACCTTCAGTCTTGTGTTTCCTGTTTCCTGCACTGACTGCTTCTCAGGGCTGAAGCATCGAGACAATCACACCGACACACACACACACACACACACGCCCATGTCACATCCAAACCAAGAACAAATATTCACGTGAAGATTAAGCCTGTTTTCGGAGCATTGGGATTATTTTCATGGCAAGTATTATTACTGTAATGTGTACGGTTGAGGTTTTTTTTTATTTTTTTTATTACAACACTCCATGCTTCTGTTGTTTTAAAATATAATATGTTAAAAACAGTACAACAGATATTACTGTAATGCACAAATACAGTCTTACATATTTTCTCTCTTTATTGCAATGAGAGCAGGATTTTTTTTTTTGCAATATGGTATTGACTGGGAACAAAATATTCATCTAAATAATCTCTTTTTGTGTCTTTTGATTGTGTGATTTATATGATATTCTGTTCCACATACGTTTTTAAAATGTCTTTTGTTGGAGAAGGGGTCTGTTTCTTGTTTTGTGAATGAGCAGAACACTAATAACCAGAACATCAGCTTCCCGATGCCGACGTCAGTGGCTTGTGATTGTGTGGATCTCATTGCTTTTGTGCTCTTCAGATCCGTCAAGCTGAAACTGAAGCCGATGTTTAAAACTTTTTTTTACGCTATTTTAATGGAAATTAGGCACATTTCCCCCCAGTATTATCATCATCATCATCATCACAGTGCATCTAAATGAGTGTTGTTTTCTAAATTATTCTAATTACAGTAATAATTCTCAAAACTCGTGTAATGCATATCGTAGTGTTTACGCTGCCTGCTGATTTCTGGACATATTCATTTTTAATGGTGGAGATGAACATGGATTGTAATTGAAATATTGTCTCGGTACAAAACATCTTAATGGTGCTTAAAACGGATGTCTTTTTTATGTTTAGACAAGATCTTTATTTGATTGATTTTGAAATCACCTTTAGTGGATGCTGGCGTTTGTTCCCTCGGCTCAGTCAAACTACACTACGCGTCCAGCTAAACAGTGCATCACATGACCGTAATCCAGTTGACCCGTCGTTGAATGAATGGTCCTGTTCAATGCCACGTCTCAATGCACCAGTCATCTGAAAGAGGGTTTGGTTTGTAATCATGTGAAATCAATGTCATCAGTTTTGTTTTTTATGCATATTTGCGGTTGTGGGGTTTCTTAAATAAAAAGATGATTATGAATATCAAGTTTTCACAATGCATTCATATTCAATTAAAAGCACATTATACACTCACCTAAAGGATTATTAGGAACACCATACTAATACTGTGTTTGACCCCCTTTCGCCTTCAGAACTGCCTTAATTCTACGTGGCATTGATTCAACAAGGTGCTGAAAGCATTCTTTAGAAATGTTGGCCCATATTGATAGGAGAGCATCTTGCAGTTGATGGAGATTTGTGGGATGCACATCCAGGGCACGAAGCTCCCGTTCCACCTCATCCCAAAGATGCTCTATTGGGTTGAGATCTGGTGACTGTGGGGGCCATTTTAGTACAGTGAACTCATTGTCATGTTCAAGAAACCAATTTGAAATGATTCGAGCTTTGTGACATGGTGCATTATCCTGCTGGAAGTAGCCATCAGAGGATGGGTACATGGTGGCCATAAAGGGATGGACATGGTCAGAAACAATGCTCAGGTAGGCCGTGGCATTTAAACGATGCCCAATTGGCACTAAGGGGCCTAAAGTGTGCCAAGAAAACATCCCCCACACCATTACACCACCACCACCAGCCTGCACAGTGGTAACAAGGCATGATGGATCCATGTTCTCATTCTGTTTACGCCAAATTCTGACTCTAACATCTGAATGTCTCAACAGAAATCGAGACTCATCAGACCAGGCAACATTTATCCAATCTTCAATTGTCCAATTTTGGTGAGCTCTTGCAAATTGTAGCCTCTTTTTCCTATTTGTAGTGGAGATGAGTGGTACCCGGTGGAGTCTTCTGCTGTTGTAGCCCATCCGCCTCAAGGTTGTGCGTGTTGTGGCTTCACAAATGCTTTGCTGCATACCTCGGTTGTAACGAGTGGTTATTTCAGTCAAAGTTGCTCTTCTATCAGCTTGAATCAGTCGGCCCATTCTCCTCTGACCTCTAGCATCAACAAGGCATTTTCGCCCACAGGACTGCCGCATACTGGATGTTTTTCCCTTTTCACACCATTCTTTGTAAACCCTAGAAATGGTTGTGGGTGAAAATCCCAGTAACTGAGCAGATTGTGAAATACTCAGACCGGCCCGTCTGGCACCAACAACCATGCCACGCTCAAAATTGCTTAAATCACCTTTCTTTCCCATTCTGACATTCAGTTTGGAGTTCAGGAGATTGTCTTGACCAGGACCAAACCCCTAAATGCATTGAAGCAACTGCCATGTGATTGGTTGATTAGATAATTGCATTAATGAGAAATTGAACAGGTGTTCCTAATAATCCTTTAGGTGAATGTACATTGCAATCCAGTTGTTTTAAAAACTCCATTTTGGATTTTTTTTTTCATAGAAAATGGAGAACACAATCATATTGGATATTTTGAAAAAAAAAAAATGTTTTCATTTTAGTTTAGAAACACTTTAGTTTAGGGTCCAATTCTCACTATAAACTAGTTGCTTATTATCATGCATATTACTAAGATATTGGCTGTTTATTAAGTGCTTATAAAGCACATATTAATGCTTTATTCTGGATGACCATATTCCACCCAATACCTAAACTGAACTACATTACTAACTTTTAATAAGCAGTAATTATGAGTTTGTTGAGGAAAAAGTCATAGTTAATATAGTGATAATTGGGCCCTAATCTAAAGTGTGGCCTAAAGTTTTAGTAATTTTTTCTTTTTGTCACTTTTATTAGTTTGTCTAACCAGTTTGGTTAGACAAAATGCAGAAGGCATCAATATGTGCTTTATAAGTACTATTAAACAACCAATATCCTAGTAATATGCATGATTATAAGATATTAGTTAATAGTGAGAATTGGACCTTAAACTAAACGTGTTATCCACAGTTTTTATTTCACTGTTTCAATCAAGCACTGGAAAAGTCATGGACATTTATTTATATGGGGGAAAAAAAAATATTATTGTTTCCAAATCACGACAAATTCCATCGTCGCACCTTTTGGATTTTTTTTTTTACCATTAAACCAACAGAAGTGATGACTTACGCCAGATAGTTTAAAACCCTGAATGCTTTATTGAAAGTATGTATACATAACACCTCTCCTACAGAACATTACATAATAGTACAATCACTTAGAATAATAACACACTGAAATGCAAATAAGATCCTCAGATCCTGACTGCAATAAACGTAAGTCTCCATCAGAACTCCAGCCAGGGCGCTACCGTCGCCCCGCGGCTCAAGCACATAAAGTCAAACTAAGACTGAAATGAAACACAAATATCCAGAAGAAAAGGAAAGCTCAGTTGCATAAACCAGAACGTACAACACCACAATTGTGTGATATCTCCACATGTGTGAGGGTGTTACTGCATGCACCTGTTCTTTCTTTCGCTTGCGCGTCAATCCTCGCTAGCGGGACAGGTCTGGCTGGTCAGGGTACGGGTAACCTGTACAAGGAGTTTACCTGATGCAGGTGAGAAACGCTTAACATTTGTACGGGAGGATACATGGCAAGAAATACACACGTGTGTTTTTATATATATATATACATACATATAAGTGCTGTCAAATTAATTAATCACGATTAGTCGCATCTAACATAAAAGTTTGTTTTTTTATATTTATATAAGTGCTGTCAAATCGATTAATCACATCTAGCAAAAGTTTGTTTACATAATGTGTATTATATTTATGTTATATGTATGTACATATATATATATGTCTGTGTGTGTACTGTATATACACATAATTATTTATACATGTGTATATGTATACACAGACATGCACACACACACATAATATATATAAATAATAATATATACACACACGTATATAAACAAACTTTTATGTTAGATGCGATTAATCGATTTGACAGCACTAATTTATATATGTATGTATATATACATATACATATATATATGGATACTTATATGTGTATTCACATATTGTATAAACAGACTTATGTTAGATGCGATTAATCGCGATTGACATCACAAATATATGTTTATATATATAGATTCCTTATATACATGTATATGAAGAGCATATAATAACAGAATAAATCATAGTAGGCAAAGTTTCTTTCGCTCGACTGATGAATACCTAAATTATTTCAGGGTACACCTGCGTGTACTAATGCGTAATATGGTACGAAAGTATATAAGAAATTCACAAATAGAAAAAAGCATTTAAGAGGCCATTTGCCAAGACATCCTTTATACGATAATACAAGGGGGAAAAAAGCTAAACAAATTATAAATCAACCCAAAATAAAATCAATTAAACTAAGAAAATCATAGCTGATGAATAATCCTATACATGTCTAGAAAAGCATTAAAAAAAACATAAAAAGTCAAGATGTGATAATATGAAAGAGGAAACGAGACCCAAGAGGAGAATATGACGCAACGAACACAAACTCGAGAAACATATTTGAGAGTCCGTTCATTCGTTCAATATGCTGGCGTACTTACCGTCACAGAATCATTTCTCATACACTAACAGCCTGGACCGTGTCGCAAACACCTACGAGCCACTTACGTCAAGTCAAGGTCTGCACGCTGATATTTACATGTGGATCGTGACATCAGCACGTGTGTGTGTGTGTGTGTGTCATTAGCAGGACGACTATAGCGAGCCTATATGTGTCGCAGGAGCGTTACCAAAAAATAACCATGTCCTGTTATGCGTCTTTCTTCGTAAATCTTAATCGGCTCGTCACAAGAATAAAGACTAATAATCCGTCACCTCTAGAAAACTTCCCCCTTTCATAATTAGCATAATAAAGTACCATAAGCAATGAAACAAAAATGCGGATCGGGGTCATGGTTGGAATTTTCTAATCAAAATGAATATCTAGCTGTTAAAAATGCCAGTAAATTCAGTCATTTAAAAATGTGGTGGGTCACAGAGGGAAAGGAAAACGATATCTTATATCTCTGCTGGTGAAGACACTTACTTTCAAGCATACAAATTGGCTTAAAGAAGTTCATGCTGAAAAATAAGGATATGATTTGTTTGCTCTCCGTTAACACGTGCGTCTTTGAGACCGAGGAGAAGTTCGCACATGCCGGAAAAGCATTTTTTTTTTGTCCCCTTGGCTGAGTGAATATTGTACAGAACACAAAGCAAGCCTGTGGCCTTGATTCATTCACAATAATAAATTAAAGCCGCAATAAATAACGTTGTTTGTCCGTGTGTGTGTGTGTGTGTGTTTGTGTGCGCATGTGGGTTCAGGAGGCAGTCGTCCACTCAGGATGCAGTGTAGAAAGGAGGAGGAGGGGCTTAGGCCGAAGAGGGGCGTGTCCGATTGGGATTTGAAGTCAGATGTTTGAGGGCAGCAGCCGGCTTCATGTTGTTCGAGTGAAACGGCGTGGGGAAATAACATCCATCTGCCGTACGATTTACTTCAATTTTCATTTCTTCATTCACAGAGTCTATAGTGTGTCTCACTGTATGTTTTCCAAAGTGGACATCTGCTCCAGAGTCAACATCAACTGTCCATGCTAAAGCATTCTGCAGGAGGAGAGAAGCAGAGAGACCAAAATCACAAACAAGTCCTCTTTCTAACATGTGCTATTCAATTCAGCTCAGGTTAAAGTGCCCCTATTATGCTTTTTTTTGGATATTACCTTTCATGCAGTGTGTTATATAGCCGTTTGTGAATGTAAAAGATCTGCAACGTTTTAAAGATCAAAGTGCAGATAAATGGAGTTAATGTCTCCCAAAAGAAAGAATCGCTTCAGAACTGCGAAAACGAGTTGTAAGCAATTCCAGTCTCACTTCCTGTTACAAATCTACGTAATAATGTAGCACATTTGCATAATGCCCGCCTATGGTCTTCATTGGCTGCTCGCAAAACAATGTCTACTTTGACCCGCCCTCAAACACAAAGAGTTTGGTTCGCTGTTTTCAGCGCTGTGAATACACTTCACATGCACTTCAAAAGGATGAGGTGCTGGGATTAATATGGAAAAACCAAAGGAATCTTTACTGTTCGTATCAATGTGTATCAAGTGCAGATCCGGAGCTGAAAATAAGATATGATAATGGACTTTTCGTTTCCCACATGCGCTGTAAGCAGTCGACCAATCATAACAGACTGAGTCATCTGACCAATCAGAGCAGAGTAGACCAATCATAACAGACTGAGTCATCTGACCAATCAGAGCAGAGTAGACCAATCAAAACAGACTGAGTCATCTGACCAATCAGAGAGAGTAGACCAATCATAACAGACTGGGTCATCTGACCAATCAGAGAGAGTAGCCAAATCATAACAGACTGAGTCATCTGACCAATCAGAGAGAGTAGCCCAATCAAAACAGACTGAGTCATCTGACCAATCAGAGCAGAGTAGACCAATCATAACAGACTGAGTCATCTGACCAATCCGAGAAGAGTAGACCAATCACAACAGACTGGGCCATCTGACCAATCAGAGAGAGTAGCCCAATCAAAACAACTGGGCCATCTGACCAATCAGAGCAGAGTAGACCAATCATAACAGAATGAGCCATCTGACCAATCAGAGAAGAGTAGACCAATCACAACAGACTGGGCCATCTGACCAATCAGAGAGAGTAGCCCAATCAAAACAACTGGGCCATCTGACCAATCAGAGCAGAGTAGACCAATCATAACAGACTGAGTCATCTGACCAATCTGAGAAGAGTAGACCAATCACACCAGACTGGGCCATCTGACCAATCAGAGAGAGTAACCCAATCAAAACAACTGGGCCATCTGACCAATCAGAGCAGAGTAGACCAATCATAACAGACTGAGTCATCTGACCAATCAGAGAAGAGTAGACCAATCACAACAGACTGGGCCATCTGACCAATCAGAGAGAGTAGCCCAATCAAAACAACTGAGTCATCTGACCAATCAGAGAAGAGCAGCCCAATCATAACAGACTGGGCCATCTGACCAATCAAAGCAGAGTTGACCAATCATAACAGACAGTCATCTGACCAATCAGAGCTGAGTAGACTAATCATAACAGACTGAGTCATCTGACCAATCAGAGCAGAGTAGACCAATCACAACAGACTGGGTCATCTGACCAATCAGAGCAGAGTAGACCAATCATAACAGACTGGGCCATCTGACCAATCAGAGCAATCACAACAGACTGGGTCATCTGACCAATCAGAGCAGAGTAGACCAATCATAAAAGACTGAGTCATCTGACCAATCAGAGAGAGTAGCCCAATCAAAACAGACTGGGTCATCTGACCAATCAGAGCAGAGTAGCCCAATCACAACAGACTGGGTCATCTGACCAATCAGAGAAGAGTAGCCCAATCACAACCGACTGGGTCATCTGACCAATCAGAGCAGAGTAGACCAATCACAACAGACTGGGTCATCTGACCAATCAGAGCGGAGTAGACCAATCACAACAGACTGGGTCATCTGACCAATCAGAGAAGAGTAGCCCAATCATAACAGACTGGGTCATCTGACCAATCAGAGCAGAGTAGACCAATCACAACAGACTGGGTCATCTGACCAATCAGAGCAGAGTAGACTAATCACAACAGACTGGGCCATCTGACCAATCAGAGCAGAGTAGACTAATCATAACAGACTGGGTATTCTGACCAATCAGAGCAGAGTAGACCAATCACAACAGACTGGGCCATCTGACCAATCAGAGCAGAGTAGACCAATCATAACAGACAGTCATCTGACCAATCAGAGCAGAGTAGACCAATCACAACAGACTGGGTCATCTGACCAATCAGAGCAGAGTAGACCAATCACAACAGACTGGGTCATCTGACCAATCAGAGCAGAGTAGACCAATCACAGCAGACTGGGCCATCTGACCAATCAGAGCAGAGTAGCCCAATCACAACAGACTGGGTCATCTGACCAATCAGAGCAGAGTAGACCAATCACAACAGACTGGGCCATCTGACCAATCAGAGAAGAGTAGCCCAATCATAACAGACTGGGTCATCTGACCAATCAGAGCAGAGTAGACCAATCACAACAGACTGGGCCATCTGACCAATCAGAGCAGAGTAGACCAATCACAACAGACTGGGTCATCTGACCAATCAGAGCAGAGTAGACCAATCACAACAGACTGGGCCATCTGACCAATCAGAGCAGAGTAGCCCAATCACAACAGACTGGGTCATCTGACCAATCAGAGCAGAGTAGACCAATCACAACAGACTGGGCCATCTGACCAATCAGAGAAGAGTAGCCCAATCATAACAGACTGGGCCATCTGACCAATCAGAGCAGAGTAGACCAATCATAACAGACAGTCATCTGACCAATCAGAGCAGAGTAGACCAATCACAACAGACTGGGTCATCTGACCAATCAGAGCAGAGTAGCCCAATCACAACAGACTGGGTCATCTGACCAATCAGAGCAGAGTAGACCAATCACAACAGACTGGGCCATCTGACCAATCAGAGAAGAGTAGCCCAATCATAACAGACTGGGCCATCTGACCAATCAGAGCAGAGTAGACCAATCACAACAGACTGGGCCATCTGACCAATCAGAGCAGAGTAGACCAATCACAACAGACTGGGTCATCTGACCAATCAGAGCAGAGTAGATCAATCACAACAGACTGGGTCATCTGACCAATCAGAGAAGAGTAGCCCAATCATAACAGACTGGGCCATCTGACCAATCAGAGCAGAGTAGACCAATCACAACAGACTGGGCCATCTGACCAATCAGAGCAGAGTAGACCAATCACAACAGACTGGGCCATCTGACCAATCAGAGCAGAGGAGCCTCAGAAAGGACAGACTGAATACTTTATCGAACCGTTTCAGACACTGAGAAAAGAGGTGATGCTGCAATGTATAAAATAAGTGGATGCATGTAAACCTGTTATAGGAGACTCCGCAACAAAAATAGCATAATGGGGCACTTTCATTCTGAATTTGAACTAAACATTTAAATTCCAGAAGCATATTAAAAAGCAATAGTTAAGAGTCTCTCAGATCCTCTATATGCATTATAAAGTCCAGATTAGATGCCTACTTTTTTAAATGAACTGAATTATTAAGCTACTGTAGCTCCGGTGCAAGAGGGTTAAAACACTAAATATCAGTGTCAGCCATAACAAGCTCCGTTTTTTGGCGCAGAAACTCCACATTGGTTTAATCATCTGGTTTTAGTTTCTGAATATTATTGAAAACACATCAAATGGGTGTTTAAAGATTTCAAGAAATGGCTTGACAAAAGTAACCATTTCCTACTGAAACAGGAAGTCTGAACAGATTGTTTAAAATAGCTCTGATTCACATTAATTCTCCCCACAGGGATTTAGAAAAAAGTCTTTGTTAAAGCGTCACACAGCAACTGGGTAGTTGACATGTTAAAATGTTAAAAACATTGAATGAACATGCAACATTTATTTGAATGTATAAGCGAAAGTGCATATTTAACATCATATAATTGATCACTATTTTTTTCAGTTCAGGTTTTCAGACACATTTTTTCCCCCTCCTATTTTAAATGTTTAAAGTAGTACAAATATTCCATATAATCTCTCATTTCACATGAGCTCATAAAATATGCATGCAATACAATAAAAAAATAGCTAAATATGTTTAGATTTAGTTTAGCAAGTCAAATTTCTAAAGTTTTCTATGTCAACTACCCACTTACATCAAACTAGGAGCATATTCCAGTCAGACGAGGAGGTTCATACCAGTTAGGCCCTCGGGCTCCTGGGAGTCCAGAAAGGGGGCGGGACCCCAGACCCGTATGGTGCCGTCATCCGAGGCGCTGGCCATCAGGCCCGGCAGAACTGGGTTCCAGCTCACGCAGTTCACGGTGCGCGTGTGGCCCGTCAGCTCGGCGATGGGCAGCTCGCTGCGCTTGTGCCAGATGTAAACTTTGTGGTCTAGAGACACAAGACCCCGTCAGCTCTCAGCAGGAACTCACTCAGTCTGTTATTCTGAGATCGACGCACTCTTACCTTCACTGCCACTCGCAATAAAGTCTTCGTTGTAGCCGCCAAAACAGGAGTGGATGGTGTAGAAGCCCTGAGTCACACCTTGGTACTTCCTGACTAATACCCGGTCCTGCAGGTCCCACAGATGAACTCCCTAAACACGGCGAGAGAGAGGAACTGCTCAGTGGAACGTATACTGATACATTATTTGTATTTACATGAGTAATAAGTTAAAGATTCCTCGTAGGGTTTAGTAATATTTACATTAAGGTCCGCTTTAGTTAGCAACACCCAACTTCCTACAATCCAATCAATTCGCCACAGACAAAATCAAGTCCCGCCCCATATTTGTTCTCATTCCTGACGCGTTTCACTCGGATATACGTCACAATAGCGATGAAAAGACTATCGCAACTTCCGCTTTAAAGCTGCAGTCCGCCGTTTTTTCCTCTTTGTCGCCATCTCTGTTCGAAATCTGCAATTGCAGTCATTCGCGGAATTATCAACTTTACGTGGGTTGTGCCTCGACACGGCACAGCGCGGATGAACACAGTGTTTGAGGAGAGTGTGCGGCTGTCAGTCGCCGCCGGTGTGGATACTGGCATTCAGAATCACAGATTATTCTTTTTGGAAATATGACCAACATAATAATTTTCACTGGAAAATGTAATCTGAACAAGTAACATCCACTTTTGTTCAGACCAACTAAGGGGGAAAAAGCATTGCTGTAAATCGCGCTGATTAAATCTAACGATCGCTTATCATATCACGTCAAACCGTGCAAATTATACTTTGTTCTCAAATTGTTAATGTTAACAACGTCAGCATTGCGTGACTACATGTAATGTCCTTCCAATATTACCCTTGTTTTCGCATGGGCCGGTTGCAGTCTCTTCTTTTCTGAAGCCGCTCCGAAGTCCGAACGAAGTCTTTTGCGTTTTACAGCGGGTGAATCTCTAGTTGTCGCTGGTGATTGTCGTTTGAACCTTTCTGGATCCGCCATCAAATTAATAAGTTTAATTATTCACCTGTTTCCGGGGGGGGCGCTACTGTAAAAAATAAAGTGGGTGCAACATCCGGTCAGGCGGCGGAAGTAGCATACCAATGGTATTTTGTGTGCTATTTAGCGAAGAGGCTAGGTGTTTTTCGGATAATGTTTTACTATTTAAACTAAGTCGCAAACCTTTATGAGAGATGTCGTTACGGAGCTCAGGGACAACATGTGCTGTTCGCGGTTGTACATAGGCCTATAACCGGACTAAACTAAATCAGTGGCAAATTTTATTATCCAACAATCTTAGACTAAAGATTTTAAGTGAAGGCTACTGTGAAGCAATATATTCAGAGCATGAATGACACACAGTAAACATTTCATAGTATATATAATATAATATAGACTATATATATTTCTCAGGTCTGTGAGGCAAGTAGACTATGCTGAGTTTCGGTTCATTTATGAGACGAGCTGCAGTTCAGGCGCCGGCGCCTCCGTGTCTTGATTATTGTCTGCTATATTTACTTATTATTTATTAAATCCAGGGAATTTGTTGATGAAACATTGATTAAAATTAAGATACAATTAATACAAAACGAAATTAACTTTAAATAAAGGCTTGCTTTCTGTTTGAGGTCTCTGTGAACGTTTTAAAGCAGTCTTTTAGTGCCGCTTTCAGAGAACTGTCACGTCCATAAAATTGTTTTTCCTTATAAATGCGAACATGAAAAATAAAATAAAATGAATATTTTATGTTCTGTGGAGAGCCAAACCTTCTTCATCCGGTGGGTACTTTAGGTTTGCGCAGTGTAATTCACACATTTCACAGAATTATTGAAAAATATTTTGCCACCTAAAAGTTAAAGATTTTTTTGTGTCACGTCCCTTTCCCTCATATTAAATATAAAATGCATGTGTTATATTTTTCTAATGTCTGGACTCCTTTAATAAAGGAGTATGAGATATATAAACAGAAGTTTCAATAGCCTATATTAAATGCATTTTCTGAGAATTTATATTTCAGGTTTTGACTGCAAATGTCACGTCCATAACGCTGGAATTGCCCAATTTTAAATAATTTATCTTCAACTAGTTTTGTGGTGTAGGTCTATGTATTTTATAATGTTAACTTCAAATAATACTAATAGTAAAGATATGGTAGCTATATTGGATCTGGACGGGAAGGATATCTCTGGGAGTTGGAAGGGGTGTGTCGTGATTCTGCCTTCCCTCACCGCGACAGGTTCGTGGATCTGAGTATCGCGATTTCGGTTTTATATCGCGTATCGTTACAGCCCTATTTAACATGATTCTTTTTTATTATTATTTAGGAACAAACGAGGGTCTCTGTTTAAGAAACGCCGGCTCGTAGCTGCAGGTTCAAGAGCACCGCAGCGCATATCTTCAAGTTTAGCCATAACCGAACGTCCAGTTTAACTGCCACAAGTTGATCTTCTTGTAATAAAGAACTCATCGTGGAAAAACATTTTCATTGCATTTTTAATTGCTAAAAAGTTAAATAAATTAAATAATACATTTTAATATAAATATTAATGATTAATCGAATAAATGAATGAGTGTCACGTCTCGCTTGTTTACTTCGAACCGGAAGACGCACCCACTTTTGACGAAAGGCCTCATGGGACGTAGGAAACTTGTGGATATCAAGTGGGTACTGCAAAACATGAACAAAAAATGTGTAATAGTCTACTGTAAGTCTGCATACGAGACCAAACGTGTGACCTTTACAGACTGTGCTTATGAGTTTGTGACTAATATGTTAACATGAGTAGTGTGTGAAGTGCTTAAAATGACTAATTAAACTTTTTTTTTTACAACATTTGTAAATGTAAAAAAAAAAGTGCATTAAGTAATAAAAGAGTTGAATTTGAATGACATTTGTTAGCATTTTATTTACATAATGATTAAAATATAATTTAAACATTAACAAGCATATTATCTCATAGCTATTTAAATATATATATATTAAATAATGATCTGGTAAGCGTAATAGGTTTCTTAATTTATTAAGGAAGCTTTTCATCATTGTAAACCATCTGTCAACATCATTTTTATAAAGTGCATGATCATATGGATTGAAAGTTTAATGACACTTGTACGCATTTCAATTTACATTAAATAATGATCTGTTAATCAATATGTATGTTTAATAAGCCAGTTCATTAGTAAACATTAACAAGCACAACCCCCCCCCCCCCCCCCAATGTTATTTTACTATTAAAATAATGCATAAAGTAAAAAATAAAATAAAAAAGAGGATTAAATAATCATCATAATAATAATTTATTATGTTATAATACAATATATGTTATAATAAAAGTATTAAGAGAATTGTTTTTTTATTATTATTAATAAAAAACGATAATAATAAATACTATTATTGTCATTTTATTTGACAGTAAATTATTCTATTTGAAGAACAGTAAAATTACAATACTAACATTTATGGTTGCCTTGATTTCTTTGTTTTTAAACATTAAACCATTGAGCTTGTATTTTGGCAGAAGCCTGCAGGAGACCCGCTCTTTGTTGACACAGATTTATAAATGATTCTCATGATGCATTTGGAAAGATGGTTGATGCATGTTGCGCTCCCAAATGCAAATTGTAAGCGACTCAAACACACAGAGTAGCATTACTGCAAATCAAAACTGAAAGTGCTTTACTCTGAAACATGCAGCGTGTCAGACTATACATTTATATAATTACATAATACCAACACACACCATTTTGAAATTCATACGGGTCATTATTTTCAGGTCAGAAAATACAGAGAAATAAATAAATAAATCACATCCCTAATTATAGTTTATTTTCAGATTAATCTTGCATTATTAAGACATATAGGAGTTATTAAACAGAAATATTACGAGATAACATTTTGCCGCTGAAGATGCCGCCATTTTGAGTGTTTCTAAGTACAAGTCCGAGTTTACAAGTCGTAATTACGAGCTCTACAAGGACCTCTTCGGAAGTCGAAATCGGTAATTCGGTAGTTCTGTCATGGTGCGAATGCACTTTCTAGAGCTTTATGGAATCCCACCAAGATCAGATCAGATCGTTCATAGCAAAACGACAAGTCTGGCATCAGTACAAAAACAGCTTGACATTATGAAACGCTTGAGATGAAATCTGCAGCCTGCTTCGCCTACTCACCTGAGTTGCGACATTTAACAGAGCTAATCTTCCATTCTTTGACACGGTGAAGGACATTACAGGGTGGTCTTCTTGAACTCTATAAGAGACAAGCAAACGCACACCAGCACATCCACATAACTCAAACAAACACTGGCAGAAAAACCATAACAGGATCTTAAGTCACAAGTAGGGCTGGGCAAAAACAAAGATTTCTCGATTAATCGTTTTTATTTTAAAATGTGGTTGATTCAAAATCGATTCTCAAAGGCGACGAAACGATTTTTTCCATATTTATTTATTTATTTATCCATCACCCAAAAGCCAGTATTAGTTTTCCTCCACTGTTCACAGGCTAATGCTGTGAGATTTTATGTTTGTTTTATCGTAAACATAAAATAACCTGATCGTGTTTGATCAAGGCATGCAACTGGTCTGACTTGTCCAATTTTCAGCATCAATTTTTCATTTGAAATATAGAGTTGGGTTCTGTGTTAATGTACCCACGTGGTGTACCTAAAATAAAAAGCTTTATTTCTTTTTATTAATTAACCACTTGTAAACTTATGTTCACTGAGTCGAATCGAGAATAAAAAATCGAATTTAGTCAAAAAATGAATCGAAATCGAATCGAATCTGAATGGATACCCAGCCCTCGTCACAGCAAGTGCAGTCGACATACATGTTCCTGTCAGTCAGATCTTCGAAGTTGTATCCACGGATGCGCTGGTGTGTATCAGAGGCCAGCACTGTTCGACCGTCATTCAAACACCACAGACACTGCACACGAACACCCTCCCAGGAGTCCAGCAAGTTCCCGTCCAGATCCTGTCAAGAACAAGTATCTCATTAACCAACATCACTAATGAACGTGTGTGCTAAATAGTCACTAGAAACAATAATCCTGATTTCTGGCAACAGCAACTATTAAAAATGTTTCTTACTGGGTGAATCTCCACATGTCAAGAGCATGTCTGGGTCATATTTCATAAAAATAAAATAAAAAAACACACTACCGTTAAAAAGTTTGGGGTCAGTAAGATAATAATAGTAAATTAATACTTTAATTCAGCAATAAGGCATTATATTGATCAAAGACAAGTTCCAAAAAAATCTATTTCAAATAAATGCTGAAGAATCCTGATCCAACATTGTTTTCAACATTGATAATAATTAGAAATCATCATATCAGAGTGATTTATGAAGAATCATGTGACACTGAAGACTGGAGTAATGATGCTGAAAATACACAGGAATAAATTACATTTTAAAAAATGATACTATTTCACAACATTACAGTTTTTCCTGTCATTTTGATTAAAAAAGGATAAATAATTGTAAAAAAAAAAGTTTTAAACAGTAGTGTATATTTTATACACTTTTTTAAAGTTATTATTTATCAAATAAATTGACATTTTCAAGACAAAAAAGCACATACACAGCCAATATTCTAATTACTTTATTGCAAAAAAAGAAAAGAAAAAAAAGCCAAGTATGCATCATGGATGTTTTGGTTTTACAGAAATTAAATGTAAGCTAATTTTAATAATGAAAAATCATTGCATTTGTTTGTGAAATATTAAGAAGACTCCCCCCCCCCCCCCCCCCCTTGGAACTGGAATTAAAAAAGTAAATAGTAACTACCATATTTCAATACCCTACTGTCACGCCTATATTCCTCTCATCACTCAGTATAATTGAGTACAGTTATAGCTGAGAGCAACACTTACACACTGGTAGAACTGGCCTCTCTGACCTCCGGTAACAAAGCGCTTGCCGTCTGGATTCCAGGCCACGCTGGTCAGGCTGTCCTCATGGGACTGGCTCATTTTGGTTCTCAGTTCCCCTGTCTGGGTGAACACAGTGAGGATTTAAAGGCGAGACGAGCTGCTGGAGAGAATCTGAGAGCTGACTGCGGGTCGAGACCCTCACCTGTACGTTCCAGAGCCAGAGCTCAGAGCAGTCGTCCGGCCCACAGGCTATCAGATACGTGTCATCCGGGCTCCAGGCCAGATAGGAAACCCCATAGGCATGACCCTCCAACGTCTTCAGCTGCTTGAGCAGGTGCGTGTCCTGTCAAAACACCTCAAACCATCACACTCTTGGATCAGGAGCGTTATTTTAATGGTGAAGGGGAGGGGGAAGGTCACTCACGGGGTCAACCTGCCATATAATGACTGTTGTGTCTTTGGATCCCGAGGCCAGTTTGGTGCCGTCGTTGGAGAACTTGCAGAACCAGACTTCATTGCAGTGCTCGGTCAGGATCTGCTGGGTGTAGCAGGGGAACTGTTTCCTGGAGATAACAGTCAATGTGTTTTAGAGATGGCTGTCTGGAGAGACTAACTTTGAACTTTTGCATTCATTAAAGAGCCTACATTAGGCTATACTGACAAACCCTAGATTTTTTGTTTTTTCACTTACACTTTATTTTAATAGTTCACTTCAGACATTAAAGGTGCTCTAAGCGATGTCACGCGTTTTTTAGGCCAAAACTTTTTTTTGTCACATACAGCAAACATCTCACTATCCGCTGGCTGCCTGTCCCCTGAACACACTGTAAAGAAACGTGGTCTCTGTAGACACCACAGGCTCCACAAATGGCAACAAAAACAAACTGGGCTAACCCGCACCACGAAACATAACAAACAGTGTTCCAGCCAATCCCTGGCAAGAAGTATTTGAGGGTGGGTCTGGGGTGTTAGTGCGCGTGCACAAGAAGGGGGTGTGTGAAGGAGAGAGAAGCATCAAGAGGGAAGTTTGAATAATGGCCGACAAACGACCAAAGGGACGACGTTCCGATGATCAACTTACAAAGAAGAGGGAAAAGGATAAAGTACGCGCAAAGTACCGAATTTACATCGGTAAAGCATTCGAAAGATGGCGAGAACTCCGCCGGCAGAAGGGCTTCCAGTCCGACATTCAGGTTGCTCTGTTTTTGCTGGACAGGTGGGTAACGTTAAATTCTTTTTTTTTGTTCTAAATTGACGCTTACGTTCGCCAAACCCATGCTGTCAGCGTTAACTTTGGTGAATACAACATATGTTTGTAGCAGGTAGCGATCCATATGTATTGTAAATGATCAATCAAATTAATAGTAGGGCGACAATTTATGTGAATGATTGTAACGGAAGGGAGGGGGAGGAGACGAGATGCGGAGGAGGGAGGGTCTAGCTAGCCTCCGCTTTGTTTGACAATAGTTCGAACGTCAACAAGAAGTGGCGTCACCCAGGATCGCTTAGAGAACCTTTAAGTATGACTATAAGTAACTTTGCAACTATAAGTACTAATACTCTAATGACTGCTAGTTGACATGTAGTTGCAAAGTTACTTATAGTTAGTAGTGTAAGGGCCGTACACACCGGGACGAATATCGGCGCGCGTTATTCGCCAGCGTTTTTCAACGCGTTTTTTGTGTTCACACCCAAGCGATTTTCGCTGATGATGAGCCGAGTGAAAGATGGCGCTTAATGTAAAACAGAAATAGTCCTATTTTGTAGTCGCTGTCGCGTTTGTCATATAGTTCTTTATGTTCCGACACCGACACCAGCAGCTCTACATTCATCTTGCCTTGCATCTTCCTCGTCTTATTTCTTCCCGGCAGTGTAGACCATAGATATCCATAATAAAGGCCATTTTTGGCCAGCAGCGCGGACGAGACATCTAGCCTTTATTATGGATATCTATGGTGTGGACGCTGGCGCATCTTCTTCGCCGTTACGTATGCGTGCTCAGCAAGACCGTTTTGTGTTTGAGCGCCCCCAAGTTGTGTTTTACTGTAACTTCAGAAGCTCCAGACACGTGAGCAAAAGCGCCAATCTCATTGGTCGGATAGTTTTTGATGCGGCGCGTCAAACCAAAAAAACGAACCCGAGGCGTTTTTTTTTAAAATCACGCTTTTACGCGTGGCGTGTTACGCGTCGGTGTGCACACTCACATTGGCGCCCTTTGTTTAGTCACAAGGCGTTAAACGTCGGCAGGCCTTAAGAAGACTGGAGAAACTGGAAGAGAGGGCTACTCTCTGAGAAAACAAAGGAAATTAACATTTGCTATATTACCATCCCCATTCGAGACACGATCACACTTGAGTTGATCACCTCCCAATTTACACATTGTTCCCTTCACCTACCCTACCTGAATTCACCCAAAAAATCTATATGGTTTAATATGAACAATTATCATACAGTATTATACATGTTTGGTATCATTTGAAATGTCTCAGTGCGACTGGTACAAAGGTCCCATTCCCACAGAAATAAACCAGACAGGCAATAAGGTGTGGAGAGATTAGAGATATCTTGTTAACTGCTGTGGGTGGGACGGGGATTAATGCAAATCCCCACTGTGAACTCAGGTTTACATTTGCTCTGAGTATTTAGGGAGATGCTGAAGAGGCTGTAACTCAGATGAGCCTGTGATGTGGAGAGTGGCCAAGACTCTCAGCATCATGTATTTTATAATGTCAGGTTCGCATCTTTTCTCTTTATTCCAGAGCATTTGATGTTTTGTATTTATTATCTTTGAACTGATTATTGGCCTGATGCATTTACCTGACATAATAAGTTGTTACATTTGATTTTATTGTAACTTGCTCTGAAATTGTTTTCCCAAGTAGATTAAACGGATTCGTATGTTACCTCAAATCTGCGTTAGATTAGTGACGACTAATATTTGGAGCTAATTCAAGTGTACTTGGTTTTGCAAAGACAAGAAGGGAATTTCAGTTTAGGGCAGCAAAAGGTGTTTGACCAACCTGAATTTGGGTGTCTTACTTCCGTTTTAATTTAATGTTACTTTAGTTAAGTGTACGTGAGAATTCACGGCATGGCCAATCTAAAAATAATATAAGAGAAGTAAAGTTGGTCGACTTATATCTGTAGAAGTGGCCATACCTCTACTGAAGTAAACGACAACGTTACTTTAAAATTCAAGTGTATGCAAAAACAACGGGAGCTATACAAAAGTATCTTTGATTTTGTAAGCGTGAATGCGACCATCTCAGGTATATAACCAATGACCTCTGTTTAGTGACCGAAGCTGACGAGCTTGTGATCGTGAGACCCGCGTAAAACAGAAGGCGTGAGGACCTCAAAGCGACAGTTTCCTAATCTGAGCGGGTAAAATATAATTAAAGAGTTAAAAAGAATAATCAAACATTCGCTCACTTTTAATGATGCTCAGATATCATTAAAACCTTTTTCATTTATGGAGTCAGATGAAATAACGAGGTAATACATATGAGAAAATGCATTTCATTTAATCTTGTTGTGTTGCGTAAAAGGAAAGACAGTACGGCGCAAAAACCTTCACCCGTATTATTGGAGACCGCAATTGGACCGATAAACGGGTTTACAGTAGAATGTCTAAAGTGGACCATTTTTGGATATACTGGATTTTATCTGGAATAAGAAGGTCTCCAGATTGTATAAAGTATATTTATATATACAGTGGTGTGAATAAGTTATTACCCCCATGCTAAAGTTGCCTAAAAAGAGGAATAAAAAATCATCTTTTGGAAATTGATCTTAATGCCTTAATTAGAAAAATGAGGAAAAATCCAACCTTTAAGGACACCAATTTTCTTTGTGTATGAATAATGTATCATAAATAAATAAATGTTCTTCCTTAAAATACAGGGTGCATAAGTCAGGCCCCCCCATGTTAAATTCCCATAGAGTCAGGCAGATTTTTATTTTTAAAGGCCAGTTATTTCATGGATCCATGATAATATGCATCCTGATAAAGTTCCCTCGGCCTTTGGGATTAAAATAGACCCACATCATCACATTCCCTTCACCATACCTAGAGATTGGCATGGGGTACTTTCCATAAGATCATCTTTCAATGCAAATCAAACCAGCTATTAGGCTAACTGAAATAACACCATGCCAATCTCTAGGTATGGTGAAGGGAATGTGATGATGTGGGATATTTTAATTCCAAAGGCCAAGGGAACTTTATCAGGATGCATATTATCCTGGATCCATGAAATAACTGGCCTTTAAAAATAAAAATCTGCCTGACTCTATGGGAATTTAACATAGGGGGGGCCTGACTTATGCACCCTGTATTTTAAGGAAGAACATTTATTTATTTATGATACATTATTCATACACAAAGAAAATTGGTGTCCTTAAAGGTTGGATTTTTCATCATTTTTCTAATTAAGGCATTAAGATCAATTTCCAAAAGATGATTTTTTATTCCTCTTTTTAGGCAACTTTAGCATGGGGGTAATAACTTATTCACACCACTGTAGTGTAAAGTATATTTACAGAGACCCAAGCCTCTGGGGGATTGAGATCTAAGGTTTAATGAGTTTTAGGGTGCGTTCACAGTTTGGTGCGATCGCTCTGTTAATGTGGTTCATTCAAGTGTGAACGCTGTCATCTAAACCCTGGTGCGCATCAAACAAGCGGACCGAGACGCTGAAAAAGATGAAGTCTCGATCCACTTCCAAACGAGCTCTGGTGCGGTTCGAAAGAAATATGAACACAACACGGACCAAACATGTAAACGAACCAAAAACAGGACATGACTCTATAAGCAGATCTTGGTTTGTGTGACGGAGGGATTCCTGCCGCTGTTTTGACTCCTTTACACATCTTAAAAGCTCTTCACGAGTTCTCAGCTGGTCAAAATACCATCATATGATGGCTAAGCACATACAGCGAGCGCATTATCCGGACCAAGCGAACCGAACTACAAGTGTGAACACACCCTTAAAATATTGTCTTTAATATGGCACACTGCCGATAAATTCAGTTGTCAGTTCACTTTTTAGTGCTTAATCCTGTTCTGTACACACAGTTCAGTAATAACAGCTGCAGTTTATAACCAAATTAACTTTACAAAGTGCCAACCGCATTTACAAACATTTTACGCAGTGTGTACAGAACTAATCTAAACAACTAGATGTTAATGACGCATTTAAACACGCATCAGAGATGTGTCTCTCTTCTGTGCGTGTGCGGTGCAAGAGAACCATAGGGGAACAGGTACGAGACTTGACTCATTCAGGTTGCCAGATCTTGCTAAATAAACAACGAACAAGAACATAATAAACCAAATAAATCCGAATGCTTTATAATGGGGGTGTAACGGTACATGCATTCATCCCGAACGTCGCGGTTCGGTGCATACAGTCAGACAACGAATACAGTGAGTCACAGGTGATCCATGGAAGGGGCGAGTGCAGCAATGCAACGCTGTCTGCTAACCACCACAACAGAAAAAAAAAACAAATCAGAAGAAGAGACGATCTATGCAACCCAAAGTTCATGTGGCACGCAAGAGCCTGCTAGTAGCCTATATCCTGAGTTTAGATTCATTTTTATGACACGCTCAACAAAGTTCACGCAAAGGAAACCGAGATTGTGGCAGAGAAAGTGGCATACTGTTTGTTTTCTTTATTTTACAAAAAAATAAATAATATTTTGAGTGTACACAAATATTTTCTTTTTACTTTACAGTTTCAAATGATGTCTTGCTCTTATCTGTATGACCATAAATTATGCCATAAATGACAAGAGTATTTAAAGACTAAATTATTTGGCATTGTGCCGTTTTGTGTCGTGACTCGTGGAAGTCGCACTCACTAATAGTACTACACACATAAAATATGCGTGTCTAGGAAATGGGAAGCTTCAGGTGCCGCTTCACTCGCTGTCTGGCGTAGATGTAGATGTCTCTTTTCGCTCATCCTTGCATGCTTTTTTGAAAAAGCATAATATTGAACTTTGTGCATCGGCGCAACTCTCAAGCTTTATTTTTCATTATTCTATTTATTTTTGAACTTTTATGACACAAGAGATGCTTTTCAGGTTTGAAGCTGATTGTGACCAAATACATTGTTTTTTAATATCAGCCATGCCTGATGGCTGACCTATGCCAAGACCTACGCAAGAGTGCATTCTGTTCACTGAATCCTCTAAAGGAGGCTGTACTGCACAACTACCTCAGGAGGGATTAACTGGCATTAGGTGGAACAAACTAATTTGCACTACTGTCTGTTCAAAATCAATGCAAAGAAACCTAGCATGAGGGATTTGTTGCTTTTTTCTGTTGTATCGAACCGTGACTCCAAAACCGAGGTACGTACCAAACCGTGACTTCTGTGGACCGTTACACCCCTACTTTATACTGAATCAGTGTTGCCAGACGTACAATCATTATTGTATTTGTATGATACGTATTTGTCCTCTGTAGGATCAATAATGATAAAAATCCCATAATGTACGATAATTTCAGAATTGTGTGACTCTTCAAATGATGGTGGTTGTAATCGTAGGGCTTCTGCACTCATTGATCTAGCTGTGGATCCTACGTCTACCGTCGTGATTGTGAGGAGAACGTGAACGTGGTGTTAAGCATGTCTTCCATCTCATCTCACGTTACGTCTTCTCGGCCAATCACCGTGTAGAATGACTCTCTCTGACGGGCACAAGTTAACGTTCCTGCCGCACCACTAGGTCAGTTGTTTCCAAGCTGAGGTCGATAGTTTAGCAATAAAGTCATTTGCTGGCCGTGTCAAAAAGTTTTTGTCTAGATAAACCACTGCATTCTGTACTTTTGACTTTTTTAGCTTCTGGTATGATACTTAGACATTTCCAATCTGGCAACACTGTACTGAATACAAGACCAAAATATCGTGATCCACACCTTCCCACTTTGATAAAAAACATTTATATTATGTGGACATGGCAACACCTCAAGAGCGCTCTCTGTGAAGCAGCATTACAAACATAAAAACTACGCCAAAATTGCAGAACATAACAAGTCTTTGGTTGCTTTAATATTACTTTAAAAAAATACCAAACACACAAGATGCCAAAACGTTGCTATGGTTAAAACAGTTTCAATCAATCATCGCAGTTTCGGGAGGGAGTTGTGTTCAGTACACACACAGAATGATCATTTAGGGGATCACTCCCAAATTTAAATGTGGTTGTCGATCCTGAAACTTTAGTGTGTATGTGGCCTAGTAGGATTTTGATTCTCTTCCAACATGGCTTATACACTCACCTAAAGGATTATTAGGAACACCTGTTCAATTTCTCATTAATGCAATTATCAACCAATCACATGGCAGTTGCCTCAATGCATTTAGGGGTGTGGTCCTGGTCAAGACTATCTCCTGAACTCCAAACTGAATGTCAGAATGGGAAAGAAAGGTGATTTAAGCAATTTTGAGCGTGGCATGGTTGTTGGTGCCAGACGGGCCGGTCTGAGTATTTCACAATCTGCTCAGTTACTGGGATTTTCACTCACAGCCATTTCTAGGGTTTGCAAAAAATGGTGTGAAAAGGGAAAAACATCCAGTATGCGGCAGTCCTGTGGGCGAAAATGCCTTGTTGATGCTAGAGGTCAGAGGAGAATGGGCCGACTGATTCAAGCTGATAGAAGAGCAACTTTGACTGAAATAACCACTCGTTACAACCGAGGTATGCAGCAAAGCATTTGTGAAGCCACAAGACGCACAACCTTGAGGCAGATGGGCTACAACAGCAGAAGACCCCACCGGGTACCACTCATCTCCACTACAAATAGGAAAAAGAGGCTACAATTTGAAAGAGCTCACCTAAATTGGACAGTTGAAGACTGGAAAAATGTTGCCTGGTCTGATGAGTCTCGATTTCTGTTGAGACATTCAGATGTTAGAGTCAGAATTTGGCGTAAACAGAATGAGAACATGGATCCATCATGCCTTGTTACCACTGTGCAGGCTGGTGGTGGTGGTGTAATGGTGTGGGGGATGTTTTCTTGGCACACTTTAGGCCCCTTAGTGCCAATTGGGCATCGTTTAAATGCCACGGCCTACCTGAGCATTGTTTATGACCATGTCCATCCCTTTATGCCCACCATGTACCCATCCTCTGATGGCTACTTCCAGCAGGATAATGCACTATGTCACAAAGCTCGAATCATTTCAAATTGGTTTCTTGAACATGACAATGAGTTCACTGTACTAAAATGGCCCCCACAGTCACCAGATCTCAACCAAATAGAGCATCTTTGGGATGTGGTGGAACGGGAGCTTCGTGCCCTGGATGTGCATCCGACAAATCTCCATCAACTGCAAGATGCTATCCTATCAATATGGGCCAACATTTCTAAAGAATGCTTTCAGCACCTTGTTGAATCAATGCCACGTAGAATTAAGGCAGTTCTGAAGGCGAAAGGGGGTCAAACACAGTATTAGTATGGTGTTCCTAATAATCCTTTAGGTGAGTGTATAATGGAAGCAAATTATACTAAACCTGCCTCAGTGAATGAGTACACACACAACACTCCCTCATCCTATCTTCTACCTCACAATGTGCTAAGAATGTGCTAGTCAAGACCTCTCTCAAGATCTGGGCTCAATTTAAGCATTTCTTTGGTTGACAGTCATTCATGCTCCTATTGCTGCAGTCACATCAGCAATACTACGTGCTGAATATGGTCAGGGCTGCAGGATATTGGACAAAACTGACATTGCATATTTAGTTTTTCTGTGATATATATAGTATATATTGCGATATGAAAAAAATCCAAAATTTCACATTCTGATTTGGAAAGAATTAGACTAGGGTTACTTTGCATTGAAATAAATAATCAAATCTAAGTATGACTATTTGAAGTCTTTTTGAGTGCAAATCATCCTTTGATTTGGGAAACACTTTGAGGGCATGAAATGAAAATTCACTCTATCTTTCATCTAAATGCATGTTCTAGATCTGTGCATGTTTTATTTATTTATTTTTTGACCATGTAATGTTTAGTCAATTATAACTTGATCTAGTGAAATGACAGACTTCTCTCTGGTGACATATGCAGGACTTATCCAATTATTTCATCTGTTTAAAGGCCCGTTCACACCAAGAACGATATCTATAAAGATAACTATAATGATAAACACATAGGCATCCACACCAATGCACAATAATGCTCTGTTTATTATAAGAGTGAACTGCAGTTTTGTCGTGTCGCTTTAAATCTTCATGTCAGATGGATTCTGATTTTCTGTCAATGTTTTTATCATTCATCAGCAGGAAAACATTGTTTTAAACAGTTATTTCAGTGATTTCAACTACTAGTCAAGTCAAGTCAAGTCAAATATATTTATATAGCGCTTTTCACAATACAGATTGTATCAAAGCTGCTTCACAGTATCAATCAAAACAACTTAACAGTGTACTACTACGTGAATGTTTTAAATGATATTTGAGGTGAACGTCTGGATTTACTGTAATTGGATATACTGTAATTACCGCCAGCCAGTTTTTTTTCTTCTGCGACTAAAAGACTAATCAAATCTTGCTCGACTCGTTGACTAACGCTTAGTCGACTCTCAGGGGTCAGCCGTAGACAATGCATCTGTGAACCCGTAAGTTTGCTCAAGTACCTGCTGCACACGTGGTCTATGAGCAGAGACACACTGTCCAGTCCACTGTCCAGCTTGGTGTTGTGGTAGAGACAGCGATCTCTCTGCAGCTCCACTGCCTGACGCAACAGAGTCTGCAGGCGCCGGGGCGGCAGCATCACGGACGGGGGCAAGTACGCTGAGAGAGAGACAGAGATGGAGCATAGAGGTCGTGGAGGGTTAGACTCAGTTTCATCTGAATTCAGCCAACACAGGACATAAAGTGGACTTGAGACTACGCGGGTCCGTCACGCTCTTTAGGTTACCGCCCCGAATTCAATTCATCTCCTGAATTGGCTGAACTGAAATAGAACTGACCCGAACCCTAGCTGAAAAAAAGAAAAACAATTACATGAAACTGTAAAAAAGAAAACAAAAGAGGGAATGAAGAGAGGAAGAAGTAAACAGAATAAATGAAAAAGTGAATAATAATGTTTACACCGATAATAATAATAGGTTACACTTTATTTTAAGGTGTCCTTGTTACAGTGCAATTATAGATTAGGCTAGTAATAATAGTGATGTACTAACTGTAGGATTAGGGTTTGGTTTAGGGCTAATTGCATGTAATTATGCATAATTTATAGTATTACTACAGTAACTACATTTAACAAGGACACTGTAAAATAAAGTGTTACCCGATTATACTTAATATTAATAACAATTAATAATTCTGGGTCATTCTTTTTTGTCAGAGACTACGGGCCAGATTTACTAAACAGGGCAAATTAGCGCGAGAGCACAATCCCATAAAAGCACAGATGGGAGTGGAAATTTCTGCATGTGATTTACAGACAAATGAAAGATCACAGACACATCATTTCCATAATGACCAACACAATCCACCAAGAGCAGATCAAACTAGCGTCTGGTTTAAGACGTGCTTTTTTAAGGGCGGTAAATAATGGTGCAAATACCAGTAAACTGACGAGCGCAAACCTTAGTAAATCACCTTGCATTATTCATTTAAATTCTCACATCCCATAAATGTTGTGTTTGAAAGGGAAACTCTTACAAATGCTTATGCAATAATATCAGCCGCAAAAATAACCCTGTCCAAGCCTTTTCAGCGTTAATGTTTTTACTGCATGTCTTTAGTAAATCCTGACGGTTGTTTTTTAACACCAAATGAGGGTTTGCGCTGGAGCTGTTAGTAAATCTGGCCCTAGCAGAAGGCAGACATTTAAGGAATTCACTAATAAATACAATTTTAATGAAAATTGATGTACATAATATTTTAATATGTAGTAAAACCGTTATATAATAACAGTAAAGCACTGGTGTCCCTGCTGTATTGTGAATATAGTCACTCTGCTGTGTGTTGTGTCCACCAACAACCTTATTTGTAACACAAGAGCATCTACATCGCGGCCATTTGTAAATTGAATGTGTGTGGGCTCCGGTGTCATTCGCTTCCAGTTATTTCTAGCTGTACAAAACAGCTTGTCGCGCTGCTCGACATTGCAAACTGCTCTTTATTACCATATTATTTTAATGCATTGTCATTATTACAAACACACTGGTTTGCAGTGCAAATAGTTTTAGTGTTTACTGCATTTTGTTATTCTTAGTTATTTCCCTTTAGCGGTGAATGAATCAGAAGTCTGGCACATTCACAGGAAATAGCTTAGTTCTGCATCGAAAAATAGTCATACTCTCATACCTTTTGCTTAAGCATAATGCATGAATATTAAACTCATATTTCTTATACGATAGAAAGTTTTCTTTTTAAATTAAGTGAATATAGAAGAGAATTTCAAATAATTCAAGCCAATGTTGACATTTTTGTCATGGTGTTATTTTTTTTTATATAATTAAAATACAATTATTATTACTATATATTTTTACTTTATCTGATTGTGGTTATTAATTTAAATGTTTTAGGAAATACATTGTAATGGAAATATTTTATATTTTATAGGTTTTCCTGTGCCCAATATCACATCTATCTATCTTTTATAATATTTGTTTAACTAACAAAAGTTCCTGAATGCCATCAATGACAATTTTTGGTGAGAAAGGTTTTAGCAGTGGACTTTATGAACTGTGTAATGTTGTGGAATTAGTTGGTTTGAGGCCTGTGTTGTTTTTTTTACTGTGCAAAAACTACATAAAAAAAAAAAAATAAAAAAAAAAAAAGCACACAGGATAAAACATACATTTACAACAACATAATCAGTTCATAGTATTTCATTGGTTCTTTCTTGTTTTTGCATGCGTTCATAATTTCATTGCATGACAGCCTGGCCAAAAATGATGTCGGCACAATTTCATTGCGTGATCACAAATAAAACAACGGACTACAAGCACAATATGCTTACAAAATCATTAACAGATTTTTAATAATATTTGAGTAAAGAGTATTTCAATTTTCTGGACATCACTTTTGGCCACAACTGTATAAGCGTCATCAATGCATATTTCAATGCGGATTTACTGAGCAATATTTCCTTAAATAACAACACAAGCATATTCAGTTTTCAGTGGCAGGATTTAAATGGTAGCATAACCGGAAAGATCCAGCTGGTGTTTGTTTATATGTGTTTCGAGTAACTCACTCTGAAGCTTGTCGAGGAGTTTGGATCGTGAGGCCGTCCCTTTCCCCTCCCACTCGGCTTTAGCACGCAGGTCATCAGAGTTACTGCACATCAGGTACCTACAGCACACAGAAGCAGCGGGTGAAGCTGTCTGTCAGGGTGTGGTGTAGGGGTTACTGTTTCTGTTCAAGCAACTCAACCATCTTTAAGATGCATGTTATAAAATTACACTCAAAGAAAAGCATACACAAGCATGTTTTCTGATTTTTATGGAAGCTTGTTTCTGCCACAGAATAAAAAAATAATAGGGAATTGCAACTTTTTCATCTCACAATTCTGACTTTTTTTCTCACAATTGCGAGTTTACATCGTGATATAAAGTCACAATTGCGTGTTATAAAGTCAGAATTACGTGATATAGTCGCAATCGCGTTATAAAGTCAGAATTACGTGATATAGTCGCAATCGCGTGTTATAAAGTCAGAATTACGTGATATAGTTGCAATTGCGTGTTATAAAGTCAGAATTACGTGATATAGTCGCAATGCGTGTTATAAAGTCAGAATTACGTGATATAGTCGAAATCGCATGTTATAAAGTCAGAATTACGTGATATAGTCGCAATCGCGTGTTATAAAGTCAGAATTACGCGATAGTCGCAATTGCGTGTTATAAAGTCAGAATTCCATGATATAGTCGCAATCGCGTGTTATAAAGTCAGAATTACGTGATATAGTCGCAATGGCATTATAAAGTCAGAATTACGTGATATAGTCGCAATGGCATTATAAAGTCAGAACTACATGATATAGTCGCAATCGCGTGTTATAAAGTCAGAATTACGCGATAGTCGCAATTGCGTGTTATAAAGTCAGAATTCCATGATATAGTCGCAATCGCGTGTTATAAAGTCAGAATTACGTGATATAGTCGCAATGGCATTATAAAGTCAGAATTACGTGATATAGTCGCAATGGCATTATAAAGTCAGAATTACGTGATATAGTCGCAATCGCGTGTTATAAAGTCAGAACTACATGATATAGTCGCAATCGCGTGTTATAAAGTCAGAATTACGTGATATAGTCGCAATCGCGTGTTATAAAGTCAGAATTACGTGATATAGTCGCAATGGCATTATAAAGTCAGAATTTCGTGATATAGTCGCAATCGCGTGTTATAAAGTCAGAATTACGTGATATAGTTGCAATCGCGTGTTATAAAGTCAGAATTACGTGATATAGTCGCAATGGCATTATAAAGTCAGAATTACGTGATATAGTCGCAATGGCATTATAAAGTCAGAACTACATGATATAGTCGCAATCGCGTGTTATAAAGTCAGAATTACGCGATAGTCGCAATTGCGTGTTATAAAGTCAGAATTCCATGATATAGTCGCAATCGCGTGTTATAAAGTCAGAATTACGTGATATAGTCGCAATGGCATTATAAAGTCAGAATTACGTGATATAGTCGCAATGGCATTATAAAGTCAGAATTACGTGATATAGTCGCAATCGCGTGTTATAAAGTCAGAACTACATGATATAGTCGCAATCGCGTGTTATAAAGTCAGAATTACGTGATATAGTCGCAATCGCGTGTTATAAAGTCAGAATTACGTGATATAGTCGCAATGGCATTATAAAGTCAGAATTTCGTGATATAGTCGCAATCGCGTGTTATAAAGTCAGAATTACGTGATATAGTTGCAATCGCGTGTTATAAAGTCAGAATTACGTGATATAGTCGCAATGGCATTATAAAGTCAGAATTACGTGATATAGTCGCAATCGCGTGTTATAAAGTCAGAATTACGTGATATAGTCGCAATCGCGTGTTATAAAGTCAGAATTATGTGATATAGTCGCAATGGCATTATAAAGTCAGAATTACGTGATATAGTCGCAATCGCGTGTTATAAAGTCAGAATTACGTGATATAGTCGCAATGGCATTATAAAGTCAGAATTACGTGATATAGTCGCAATGGCATTATAAAGTCAGAATTACGTGATATAGTCGCAATCGCGTGTTATAAAGTCAGAATTACGTGATATAGTCGCAATCGCGTGTTATAAAGTCAGAATTACGTGATAGTCGCAATCGCGTGTTATAAAGTCAGAATTACGTGATAGTCGCAATCGCGTGTTATAAAGTCAGAATTACGTGATATAGTCGCAATTGCGTGTTATAAAGTCAGAATTACGTGATATAGTCGCAATTGCATGTTATAAAGTCAGAATTACGTGATATAGTCGCAATCGCGTGTTATCAAGTCAGAATTACGTGATATAGTCGCAATCGCGTGTTATAAAGTCAGAATTACGTGATATAGTCGCAATGGCATTATAAAGTCAGAATTACGTGATATAGTCGCAATGGCATTATAAAGTCAGAATTACGTGATATAGTCGCAATCGCGTGTTATAAAGTCAGAATTACGTGATATAGTCGCAATCGCGTGTTATAAAGTCAGAATTACGTGATATAGTCGCAATCGCGTGTTATAAAGTCAGAATTACGTGATATAGTCGCAATCGCGTGTTATAAAGTCAGAATTACGTGATATAGTCGCAATCGCGTGTTATAAAGTCAGAATTACGTGATATAGTCGCAATCGCGTGTTATAAAGTCAGAATTATGTGATATAGTCGCAATGGCATTATAAAGTCAGAATTACGTGATATAGTCGCAATCGCGTGTTATAAAGTCAGAATTACGTGATATAGTCGCAATTGCGTGTTATAAAGTCAGAATTACGTGATATAGTCGCAATTGCATGTTATAAAGTCAGAATTACGTGATATAGTCGCAATCGCGTGTTATCAAGTCAGAATTACGTGATATAGTCGCAATCGCGTGTTATAAAGTCAGAATTACGTGATATAGTCGCAATGGCATTATAAAGTCAGAATGACGTGATATAGTCGCAATGGCATTATAAAGTCAGAATTACGTGATATAGTCGCAATCGCGTGTTATAAAGTCAGAACTACATGATATAGTCGCAATCGCGTGTTATAAAGTCAGAATTACGTGATATAGTCGCAATCGCCTGTTATAAAGTCAGAATTACGTGATATAGTCGCAATGGCATTATAAAGTCAGAATTACGTGATATAGTCGCAATCGCGTGTTATAAAGTCAGAATTACGTGATATAGTCGCAATCGCGTGTTATAAAGTCAGAATTACGTGATATAGTCGCAATGGCATTATAAAGTCAGAATTACGTGATATAGTCGCAATCGCGTGTTATAAAGTCAGAATTACGTGATATAGTCGCAATCGCGTGTTATAAAGTCAGAATTATGTGATATAGTCGCAATGGCATTATAAAGTCAGAATTACGTGATATAGTCGCAATCGCGTGTTATAAAGTCAGAATTACGTGATATAGTCGCAATTGCGTGTTATAAAGTCAGAATTACGTGATATAGTCGCAATTGCATGTTATAAAGTCAGAATTACGTGATATAGTCGCAATCGCGTGTTATCAAGTCAGAATTACGTGATATAGTCGCAATCGCGTGTTATAAAGTCAGAATTACGTGATATAGTCGCAATTGCGTGTTATAAAGTCAGAATTACGTGATATAGTCGCAATTGCGTGTTATAAAGTCAGAATTACGTGATATAAAGTCGCAATTGCGTGTTATAAAGTCAGAATTGTGAGAAACTCGCAATTCTGACTTTTTTTCTCGTAATTGTGAGTTTACATCTCGCAATTTTTATTGTATATGTTCTGATATATACAATCAGAATTGGGTGATATAAAGTCGCAATTATCTTTTAAAATGTTTTATTCTGTGGCGGAAACAAGCTTCCATAGATTTTTTTTTTCATCCTGCAACGTAAAAAAAATAAGCACACAACCACTAGTCATCAGTTATTCCGCTGATAGCGCAGTGGCACTAGGTAGAATGAAGGGAAGTTTTGAATAACTAATGAGTCGATAACTTGTTGATATAAGTGCAATAATTCCAAACGAATGTCCAAAAAATTTCTAAAAAATTAAATCTCTCTCTTTCTTGCTGCCTAGTTCGCCTATATGCGCACGCTGGGCCTGGTCATCACCTTTTGAAACAGATTTTACTTCTATAACATATTTCCAACAGTTAGGGTGGGACTTGATTTTAGAGAGGCAGAGCCACTTACTTTGATTTCATGTTGACTTATCAATTATGTGAACACCTACTTCACATGTAAAAAGCAAAACATAAACTACAAATATTTATAGTATTAGACATTAAAAATGTTTTTAGAATAGCCTGCACAACAACATGGATGAAACCCAGATTCCAGGCCTCTGTGTTTTTTACACTTCAGCTGATCTTGCCATGAACTTGCACCTGCACTTGATAATTAAGAGAAAGACCAGATGGCGGCACACCCCTAAACAACTATTAAAGATAACCCGATGAAAGCTTATTGGTTGAGCACAGTTGTAAACAGGTTGAAACAGACTGTATGAGAACGAGATGTTCTGCAGGCATCTTGGCTTTGCCGTCTCCACCCTTACAGTCTGAGTTTGGGCATTTGAATTTTGCCAATTTTACCACTGTCCAATTCTTTGAAGGGCTCTAAAAGGGGACCTATTGTGTCCTTTCACAAAGTCCTGATTTAGTTTTTGTGCTCTACTAGAACAGGTTCATGCTTGAATGCTCAAAAAACACATTATTTTCACATGTTTTACATTACTCAGCCCCTCTCTTCCCAGTCTGTCAGGAATGCTCTGCGAGGTGCTTCCCAAAAGCATCGTTAGCCAACTATGGTCGCGAGTTGTCGTTACTAGCATAGTTCAACAAGTTAATGTTTCAATGAACATTCAAACAGCATTGTAAAGTTGTGTGTTTGGAACAAAGCCATGGTTTCTTGTTTGTATGACATGTGGACTTAATAAATCATTATCTTGAGCAAAATACGCAAGCTGCGCATTTAGTATAATATTATTTGAATATATACAAATATCATTGACGTCTTTTCGTTTGTCAAGAGATTTAAAGCACTGTTTTTGAAGAGTGCGCATGTGTGAACTTGCTCTAGTACACAAGAACAAGACTGATTGAATGTGTCCTCAGATGCCATGTCTGTAATTTGCCATGTAAGTAGTTATTACTCCAACACCTGTGTGACATCATTAACCAACTTAGATAAATGACAAATTTGCGACAATACGGTTTTGGGAAACAGTGGTGACGAGCTAGTTGATTTCTTCAATGATGGTAGTAAAGCAGTGAGTTACGTTGCTGTATGGGAAACACACCCCTTTTTAGTTCCTGTCTCTATGAAGCCCCTCCTTCTGAAAGCTCACTGTGCTCTGATTGGTCGGCTGGATCAGTGTGTTGTGATTGGTCAAGCGCTTCCAGTGTGTTTGGGAAATGTCCCGCCCCTTTTCATAACCGCCAGTTTAACACACCAATAACTAACTCAACCAGGCCCCGCCCCTTTATTTTGCGTATGAATAGAGGAATATTGTGACGTGTTCGTTCCCGGGAGAAACTCGAGACTACAGTAGAGGCGTTTCAGGAGTTCAGAAACACTGACACTGACATAGAGAAGAACTTTGACCTTTTTAATGCAACATTGCACACTAAAGAAAGTAAAAAAGCAGGTCCTCTTTAAAAGCATGAAATTGCTATTCTGAACATTTCTTCTGTATCTGCGGCCTCCGTAATAAAGCAAAGATGGCAGAATGCAGGCAGAATAAATGAAAAAAATCAAATATTAAATTTGTTTTCTCATTATTAGGGCTGTCACTTTACGTTCGAAAGTCGATTACACAATCGATCGGACCAACCAACACAAGTATCGAAAACAAAAATAGGGAATCGATTTTAACAGCCTTTTTTTTAACCAAAAATGTGTTTTAGGTGGACAGATCAATACAGGACACAGAACATGTAGGATGCTGGAAAATAACAATGTCTTTTCTGTTAACCAAATGCTTTTTAATATTCGCTATTACTTCAATGCAAGTGAACAATCGCACCGTTATTTGTTGTGTAGTGACGTGTGTGTTCAAGTAAGCCAGAAATGCGCAGATTCTGCAATACGCTGTATTTAATATATCAAGTGGACTCACAAGTTGCCTATTTGCGCTAAATCCGCGCAGATATGTCTTACACGAACTTCCCCAGCAAAGTGAGTAAACATAGAAACCCGCCAGATTGGCTCGTGATTTCACAGCGTTTCCCGCCAAAGTTCATTAAATAAGTGTTCATTTCAATCCCTGAATGTTGCGCTCCTGTTTGTCATTGTGCACGAAACTTCACGCCAATAAATCATCAGAAATATTGCTGACTTGTGCGTCTCAAGCGCCCTCTTTACGCTCGTCCTAATGCCTGTTAGGTGTCCGTGGATTTGCCTGTATTTGGTGATGAAAATGGAAACGTCTTTAGACATGGAAAATCGATTTTATAATCGATTCAATGAACACTTATGTCTCAAAAATCAAACAGGATTTTTTCACCAAAGTGACAGCCCTACTCATTATAGGGAACCTAAAAAAACACTGAGGAAATGACATTGTTGCCCCCAAAATAGGACTGAAATGTGTTACCCGCTGAGGATGTGGATTCGTTCGGTGTTGTACTTCAGCGGCGTGAGCTCGGCTCGGAGGACCTGGAGTGCTTCGAGAACCTTCCCGTCCTCCAGATACTCCAGATACTTCTGTTGCAGGAGCAAGAACTTCATCCGCTGAACAACACAGGGCAAAATCACATTGAGAAGATTCATCAAACTGATGGTGGAGATGTTGAGAGGAGTTTGGACTCTTACCACCACAGCGCTCGGTGAATGCATCAGTGCTTTCAGCTCGTTGAGGTCACTCTCAGCCTGTTAGAATAAAACACACAGATTAACTGAGTTTCCTCAAGTTGACCGACCCTTATCTGTTTCTTGTTTGGGTTGTTGTGACCCATATGACCATTAAATACACCAAAGGACAAAGTTTAGAAACACCCATAAGGTGTAATCTTCTGAGATATTGATGGGAATCATTCACTGTTTCTGATTACTGATTCTGATTCCACTAAATTGTTCTGTAACACTTTACTTAATGTTTTTAATGTTGTTTATGTGTCTATGTGGTGTTTTTAATATGCTTTAAGACAAACCATGTGTAAATTCATAAGTCGACAGCATTGCTGAGTATTTTCTGCTTAAAACTGCAGTGAACCAAAGAGTCTCAAAAACACGCTTTGAAATCGCTGGTGTTTCTGACGTCACAAACGACCTTGTAACCAATCAGATCACGAGGGGGCGGGGCTTTCGCATATCATTAACCGCAGCAAAGCATGAGAGTCTCAAGAGAAGCCAGGTTATCCCAGTATATTTGTCTGTTGATATGAAAAATCCGGCACATTTAGCAATAGCAGGTGTATTATGTATATGATGTTATGATGAACTATATGCTTTTCTCCACTGATGTTCTGAGTTGTTCAAAGCGTTTCTAAGGATGCTGATTGTTAGAAGGAAGCTGTCGAACGGGAACATTATTCGTGTACCATTAGCAGCACATTATCTGTTTGATAAGTAGTCAAGTGAAAGGCTAATCATATTAATTCCTGTTATTGTGTCTGACATAGAGAGCAATACACGAAACGCTTTACCATCCTGACACAGCGACTTGTAGACGAGCCTGTATAATTCACTCTTCCACTTCTTCTGATTCAGTTTCTGGCTCAAACATATATGGATGAATGAAACCAGTATTTCCCCTTATCATTGTGCAGCGTTTACTACAGTAAAGTTGACCGAGTGGATCTCTGAGCTGCTGTGAGTGAGTGGAGGCGGGGCTAGTTAGCATATTAATGGTTCCGCATACTAAATGAAGCAAGGGTGTAGAGTTTCTTTCAAGATTTTTTTTTAAAATATGTAATTTTGGTGATCAAATATGAGTTTTAAGGAATTAAAATTATTGACAACAGGGGGACTTTAAAGCCTGTATGTACAGTATAATGCATTGAGGTATTCATAATGTATGTTATAAAAATAATAATAATCATATCTTTTCATAAATAACTATAACCAAAGTTAAAATGCATTATAATATTTGCAGATTCCTTGTAACATCTGACATTGGTTGTTTGTCATGCGTTTTAATGCATTATACTTTCTAAAGGTGTAACAATGTAAGTATTATAATGTAATATAACTGTGGTTACAATTATTTATGGGACCATACAATGCAGTATAAAAGTGAATTACAAGGCATAATTACTGCAATAAAACACTTTTATAATGCATGATGCATAAAGACTTGATGAACGAAGGTTTACGGGTTTGGAACGACATGAGGGTGAGTAATTAATGACAGAATTTTAATTTTGGGTGAACTAACCCTTTAATCTTTTTAATCTATTCTTTAAGCTTCTTTAGTTCTATGTAAATACCACGGTACACAAGTCAATCACTCAGTAACATGGCAATAAATCTAATGCCATCAGTGTACCGTGGTACCATTACAGTACATTTTCCTAATGATTGTCTTCATTCTGACATGTCAACAGTAAACAAAAACATACAGTAAACATTTTTTTCCTATTCCGTTTCATTCTTAAAGTAATTCTAGACGATTTCTACAATTTCAATAACTACAATTTCTAGACAGGCCATGTGAAGACTCACCTTTTCCCACTCTCCCTCCATCACATGATTACGAAACTTGGTAGCAGCCGGATGCTCAAGTCTACAGCCCGATTCCTGCATCAACAGGTCCACCGTTTGACTGGAACGTGACAAAAAGAAATATGTTAATTAAGAATGTGAAGTGGATTCATATTCCTTTCACATGATAGACTTAGGATTAGAGAACACACACACACACACACTTCCAATCTCCTAGCAACAAGAAGTCAGTGTTTGATTCATGACAGCAATAATTAACATATAAACCCCTGAATGTTTCACTTCCTAGAAAGGAACACCTCTCCCACTGTTCACTATAAATTGTGTGGAGCACCAGTTTATCTGGATTTCTACACCAGAAGAGAGCAAATGGGGTTGACACTCCTAACAAAGACTATGTTATGCAAGATGCATGACTGCAACAAGCTATTATACTTTGCTTTTACCTTGTCAATATGAACTAGCAAACTAATAGACTAGATATGTACACTAGATCTGCACGATATTGAAGAAATGTGATATGCGATGCAATAATGCTTTAAAGGGTTAGGCTAGTTCACCCAAAAATGAACATTACCCCATGATTTACTTAATCACCCTCAAGCCATCCTAGGTGTATATGACGTTCTTCTGTCAGACGAATACAATCGGAGACTGAGTTATATTAAAAAATGTCCTGGCCAGGGGATTTTTTCTACTGGTCCGGTCAGGCAAGTGGTTAAAATTTTTACTTGCCATGCCAACATTTTCACTGGCCCCACAACAACTAAATAATAAAGTAAAAGAAAAGAAAATGGGCCTATAAAATAAGCCTAGTATTGTTTTTGTTATTTTTGATACCACAATAAATAAGGTTATGACACCAAAAGCTACTAGATTAACTCATTTAAACAGCAAGTAATAAAATAGGAGCAAATAATCAAATTACGAGCAAAAGCACAAGTAAATACAACAGAACAAACATAAAAATGAAATTAACAGTGCTTTTCAGGTTTTTCATGTAGGTTTACACTGGAGATTGTGAGGTACAGAAATTGTAATCTAATGTATATAATGTATAATCTAATTGTAACTATAATAACTATAGATTAACCTTTATTCAAGTTAATCAGTGTAGAGCAGTTAAAGATACATAAATAATGTTAAACGTTAAATACTGTTATTTTAAATTATTTAAAAATGAAAAGATACTTCAAATGTGAAATTAAACCCGCCAGGCGGTGGCAGAGAGTCACAGTTATGAGTGAGTCATTGAGATTCACCCGATTCATTCAAACGTCTTATTGAGTGAATCATGATTCAGCTGATTCGTTCAAAAAGCTGATTCAATCAGTAAAGATACACCGCGTAAAACAGTGCTGTGGACTTTGTTTCAAACTATTTTTGTTGGCGGAATAGAGCGAAACAGGCGATTTTTATGTCTAAAATGTAAGTCTCCTAATATTAACTTGTTTATTAAACTGTACGTTGTATAAAATCAATGTCTCATTTGTAATCATGCTGATATGTGGAGAAAACGACGCTCTTCGTGTATTATTGGTTAACTATATTAAATGACATATAAAAGACATACAGGGGCATTATAATAGACTAAATCACGCAGTAAAAACGCACACTCTAAATGTGCACGCGCACTAGTCTAATCTACTGGACTACATCACGTAGTTATTCGTGCACTCAATGGGTGTGTTTCTGATAATGTCAGTTCGTTAAATCAACAATTACGATATCATAGACGATATATATCGCACACCCCTACAGCACTGGCCCGATAATGACAGCGAATGGCCATTTATGTTTTGAAGTCCATCAAAGCGCATCCATCCATGATAAAAGTGCTCCATAAAGGCCTTCTGAAGCGAAGTGATGCGTTCGTGTAAGAAAAATATCCATATTTATAACTTTATCGACTAAAATAACTAGTTCCAGCAGACGGCCGGACATATGATAAAAGGTTAACAAAAAAGGTAAGGTTGATTAAAATACTAACTTTGATATTACATTGTGGGTTTAAATGAATAGGCTTGGACTTGGTGCCTGGAAACCCAAAGCACAGGACAATAGACACACCAGAATAAACATATTCATGATTCTGAAGCTGAAAATACAGAATTATTTTAGACAAATATGCTAGCACTCTGTCACTGACTAGATATATTTAAAATAAATGTAGGACACTTTATTCTGGTAACATAAAACATTTGGCATTATCAGGACCCACAAATATTCCCCAATATTATGAAATATTATACATTAATCAACATTACAGTAGTTTAATGTAGTACTGACACTAAAACTCTGAAAACTTGAATTTTTGGGTGAACTATCCACGATACATATTGTTGCATTTTTGTATTGCGATATATTGTGGCACGATATATTGTTACACCCCTACTACTCTTACATCTACGTCACACATCGTCAAGGAAGCTAGTTATTTTAGTCGATAAAGTTATTAATATGGATATTTTTCTTACACAAACGCATCACTTCGCTTCAGAAGGCCTTTATAACCCCACAGAGCCGTGTGAAGCACTTTTATCATGTATGGATGCGCTTTGATGGACTTCAAAACATAAACAGCCATTCACTGCCATTATAAAGCTTGGAAGAGCCAGGACTTTTTTTGATATAACTCCAATTGTATTCGTCTGACAGAAGAATGTCATATACACCTAGGATGGCTTGAGGATGAGTAAATCATGGGGTAATTTTCATTTTTGGGTGAACTAACCCTTTAAGTGTGTAAAATGAATTTAAATTATATTTAAACGCGTTTAAAAACTGAAAATGGCATAACCAACATACATTTCACATTCTTTTTGTGAGAAGAAAGCATCCCTGCAGCTTCTGAAAGTGAACAGCAGTGTTTTACTGTAGCATTACATAAAAAGTAGGTTTGTGTAACTTTAACATCAGTGCAAACCAGGGTTTATGGTTTCAGGTAGGCCTACATTAGGTTTATTTGACAACAAATATGTAATAATCAAATGTAAAAATAAAGCACTGCTTAGTCATCACTGTACGAATTAAACACTGATTCTTAAAGCTACAAAAGTTATTCAGTGTATTTGGCCAAATAAGCTGCGGAAGAGAACTGATGTCGGGATCACGTGCTGTCCGAGAGGCGCAGGAGTTCTTCGATTATTGCATTTAATAACATTAAGCATGTCACATGTTTGTAACCGTTACTTTTTGTGGACTTTTGAAGTATTAAAATCGCAAGTGATATGCATATCACGATATGTACATTTGCGATAATTTCGATATATCATTCAGCCCTAATATAGATAGGCCTAGGCATTATTTCAACTTAAATTTTTTATTAAAAACTCAGAATTTCAGATTTGATTAAAATTCTGTGTTTTATTTTTGTTATGCTAGGTCTTAAATGATTTTTGTACTCTGCCCAACCCTGGCTATTTATCAGTACTATAGCAATATTAAATTATAATGTAAATTTTGATGTACACCCCTGACACCATCATCAAAACACAGACAAAAATGAAAGCACAAAATCTCCACTGACACCCTCATGTAAACACAAAATCTCCACTGACACCCTCATGTAAACACAAAAACACCACTGACACGGTCATAAAAGCTCAAAAACACCACTGACACCCTCATGAAAGCTCAAAAACACCACTGACACCCTCATGAAAGCTCAAAAACACCACTGACACCCTCATGAAAGCTCAAAAACACCACTGACACCCTCATGAAAGCTCAAAAACACAACTGACACCATCATAAAAACACTACTAAAACCAATAAAATCCTACATTACAACATTTCCACAGACACTCTCATGAAAGCACAAAAGCTCCACTGACACCATGATGAAAACAATAAAAACGTAAAAAAAAACACCACTGACTGACACATCATAAAAACACTACTATAACCTAAACAAGACATTACAAAATCTCCACTGACACCATCATGAAAGCACAAAATCTACACTGACACCAATAAAAATCAACTGACACGTTACATAAACACCATAAAAACACTACTAAAACCAGTCAAATCCACTGATACCATCATGAAATAACAAAAACATCTGTGACACAGTAATGAAAAATACAACACCACTGACACACCATCATAAAAACACTACTAGAACCTAGTGTTGTCACGATACTAGAATTTCTAACTTCGATACGATACCTTGAAAAATATCGATATTCGATACCATTTTCGATACCACGGAGAAAAAACTGCCACAATATTAAGGGGGTATTTTTTTAATTTAAAGCTAAATGTAACAAGTCTAGAACATGACAATGAGGTATATTTTACATGAACAATTCTATTTCTATTTCTAGTTCTATTTGTTTATATTTTTTAATTGGACCAGAGCTAACATGATGTATTTTTATTACCTACTGTTATCAAAGATTAAAATATACTGTAACAAAAAAGCACTTAACAGTATCAAATTGGAGGATAGAGAGTCAGTAATGTATAATAATAAGATTAAACATTCAATTTTCAGTTAAAGGCATGTCATTATTGAATTTAGAGATGCCATTGTCTAGCTGTTTAGTTTAATTAATATATGTGTAATCAAATTGATGATAATAGCTAATGAAGGAAAATTGCAGAATTAAATAATAATTTTTGAATAAAATTAAATAGGCACAAGCTAATTTACATTTGACCACAGTTACAATATTTACTTGTCTAAGATTCCTCAGTCAGATTATGTTAACTTTAAGAATTAAAACGAGACAACACAGACTCTTATCAACAACAATACTAGGCCATCTTGGTTAATGTTTCAGAAAAGTTCAAATGAGAAGAGTTACAGTGTTTCCTTTAGGATTTTTTTTAGCAGTGGGGGCAGCTCTGTCCAAACAACAAACACCCCTGATGCTGAGCATATGCTGCTAAATAGTAGCCTACCCCTGGAGCCTGTTACTTAAGTCTGTTTTCACCTATACAATAATTTTAAAAAATGAGTGATGTGAGGGATTATTGATAGTCAAACAATCTGTTGGGTGCCCGCAGCCCGCTCGCGTGTCCGCGCTATTCTCCGACATGCCCGCTCGCGGTGTGTAGCGCGTGTCCACGACTCCACGCTATTCTCCGACT